AGAGGTGAGAACACGGCTTCTTCTATCTTCAACTTGGGGACTTTCCTTTGGATTTTCTAAGTGAGAAAAACCCATGTGATAAAGGGTAAGTGATATTGGGGTGATGCGATTCGTCATTATTTATTTTACCGATTTAAGATGAAGAGATGCTTTATTCATCCCACTGTGGGGAGATTTCAGTGTTGCATCAAAGGTTACAGAACAGTAGGAATGAGGACAAAACACGTTATGGCAAGACTTTTCTAGCATTCTCTGATGATTACTGCCCTCTGGGATACACTGAGAAATATTTAGACACTTAATATAGTAGTATGTATAATAGTATTTTTGTTATATGTTTTTAAAAAAGTCATCTTCATCTGCATTTTATTTGCCAGGTCACATTTCACACTTGTTTACACTCGCTCTGAATGAAGCGCTTGGGGGTTTGTAGTTGGAGATGTAAATGAACAAGCTGCCACACACACACACACACACACACACACACACACACACACACACACACACACACACACACACACACACACACACACACACACAGACACACAACATACACTTTCACACCAAACTAAATATAGATCAGGGCAAGTTTAATTCATTTGAAACACAAACACAAATCCTCTGCAGCTGATAGACCCAAAAACAAACACCAGATCCTTAATAGTAAGATTTTGTGGTGGTTTTGTTGGGAAAGATGTGTGGACAACAGATTACTAAAGAAGGCAGTACAGATATTTCATAAACAAAAAGTGCAGCAGGATTGGCTGAAGAAACTGGAGGCGAGGCTTGGTCCTGAGGCGGGCTCCGAGCAGGCGACTGAAAAATATTAAAATGAGTGGAGATGAGTTTGTATCTGCCCTGAGACTTCACCCAACAGGAGCAAGCCTGCAATGTAAAACAAAACCACAAGAGGGAGCCAGAACCACAACGAATCATTAACAGCTCATAATCTAAGTTCATACAAAAATCTGCTTTTTTCAAGGGAATGGTCCTGGACTGGTTCTGGTTCAGCTTGGAGAGAGAGAGAGAGAGAGAGAGTGCTGGTTACCATAGCAACAAACTGCTGCTTACTGTCAGCAATTAGCATTTAGTGCTGGATTGATGCAGAAGGTGTTATTTTGGACCCTAAGTTAAGTTTTGATCGGCATGTTAAAAAAATGACTAAGACCATAAAAAGAAATATAAATTGTTTCAGGTTGATTAGACCCTGCTTATCAGTTCAAGCTGCACGAGTTTACATGCATGCTATGATATTATCCCACATGTCTTATTGTGCCATTGTCTGGGGTCAGGCCACAAAGTCTGTAGTGAAGCCTTTGTTATCATTATATAAACAAACACTCAAAATATATGATCGAAAGCCAATGAAGCATCATCACTGCCAAATTACTGAAAAATACAACATGATGAGTTTTGATAATTTTATACATTTTACCTTTTTAAAAGCTTTGTTTAAGTGTCTTAATGGATTAGCCCCTGAAGTAATGTGTAAAAACATCCAAAGGTGCAGCAGTGAGGGTGTGCAGACTCGAGCTGCAGTCAGTGGGAGCTGCAGAGTGAGAAGGTGCCGGACTCTGGGTCAGTCTGCATTCTCAGTGAAGGCCTCACATCTGTGGAACTCTTTGCCACTGGAGCTGAAGTCACAGTCGGACACTAGACTTTTCTCCACTAAACTGGAAAAGTGGCTTAAGGAAAATCAGAAGTGTGAGCACTAAACCTGAATGTAGTATGGACAAATGGGGTCAGTTATTTTTATTGATGTGTGGTTGTTCTTTTCTCCCCTTTTTTTTAAAAACTTGTTTCTTCGCTTTCTCCAAAAGCCTAACCAGGGACGGGGGCTGCAAATTAGCCTTTGGCTAGAAGCCTTGTGTACTTCACATCGGTTACCTGTGGGTGACAATGTTTTTTTTGTACTGTCCCTGTCAAATAAATAAAAAAAAAAAAAAAAACGCCGCATCTTTGACTCGGTGAAGAAAAAGCTCAGTGATTTCAGCATCCGCTTTGCCGTATCCAGCCGTTCTTTGGATCAACATCTACGGTAACGATGTACTTTTCAAGTCCCCTCCTCTTGTTCGGCATAGATGTTATTACTCCTACTTTGAGTAAGTTTGGGTAAAGGTCTCCAAATATCTCACTTGAACATTCCTCCTGAAATTGATCATTTAAGAGCCTGGTTTGTTTACAATAATCCATCTGAAACTTTGTCTGAAACGGGGCTTTCCAAAAGTGTTACTGATAATGAATACTGCCTCTGACCACTACAGCCAACCCTGCAACCGTTCTTTGTCATTTGCAGAAATTAGTCCCATTGATGTGGAAAGGGCCATAGGAAAACTGTCTTTCAACAGTAGCGCTGGACTAGATGGCATTGAAAGTAAACGTATTAAAATATTATCAACTCCCTTGGCCGCACTCTTCAACCATCTCTTTCTACAAACACTGTCCCTCTCTCCTGGAAATGTACCAAAGTAATTCCACTACATAAATCTGGTGACCCCGAGAATATCAACAACTACAGACCCATTTCAATAATCTATAGTATCGTCAGAAATTTATATATAATAATACATTAAAAATATTTTTAACCAGCTAATATCGCACTGACAATTACCTTTTATCCCAAAATCAATCTGGCTTCAGAAAACACTTCTCCACAACTACTGCCCTTCTAAAATTCACAAATGATATATTTTCAAGTTTTGACAAAAGTTTATTCACAGGTGCAATATTTCTTGATTTGACCAAAGCCCTTGATTTGGTTGATCACTATATACTTTTTGACAAACTTCCCAATCTGCTTTACTTTGGTTCAATTCCTACCTTCAACTGTGTGCCAGTCAAATCTCACAGGCATAGACAAAGGTATTCCACAAGGTTCCACTTTGGGCCCTTTTCTTTTTTCTATTTTCATTAATGACCTCCTGAGCATCTGTTCTAACTGTGACATCTGTAATAGGCAGATTATACTATTATTTACTGTTAAAAACAAAACGTCTCAGATATTTGCAACTCTCTGCAATATGATTTTGATTTAGTTCAACATTGGCTCTTGTCCAATAAACTCACTTTAAATACAACCAAATCATATTTCATGCTTTTCACCCTTTCTTTTAAAACATGATATTCATAAGACCGTCAACAAATGAAAGTATTCTTTAAAAACGTTTTTATCGCTGCTCAACTGCTTTGAGCAGTTGAGCTATCAACTGCTTTATTTTTTCCAATTGGAAACTGCTTTTTTTTCACTTATTACTTCCAATCCTTGATTATGCCGACATTATTTGCCACATGTCTCCATCTCCTCATAACAGCCTGTGTAGGTTTGCTCTGCGCTGCCCCTACAGGACACACAGTGACATCACAGTCTATAACAGTGCTCTGTGCTGCCCCTACAGGACACACTGTGACATCACAGTCTATAAGCAGTGCTCTGTGCTGCCCCTACAGGACACACAGTGACATCACAGTCTATAACAGCCTGTGTAGGTTTGCTGCTGCCCCTACAGGACACACTGTGACATCACAGTCTATAACAGCCTGTGTAGGTTTGCTCTGCGCTGCCCCTACAGGACACACAGTGACATCACAGTCTATAACAGCCTGTGTAGGTTTGCTCTGCGCTGCCCCTACAGGACACACAGTGACATCACAGTCTATAACAGCCTGTGTAGGTTTGCTCTGTGCTGCCCCTACAGGACACACAGTGACATCACAGTCTATAACAGCCTGTGTAGGTTTGCTCTGTGCTGCCCCTACAGGACACACAGTGACATCACAGTCTATAACAGCCTGTGTAGGTTTGCTCTGTGCTGCCCCTACAGGACACACAGTGACATCACAGTCTATAACAGCCTGTGTAGGTTTGCTCTGTGCTGCCCCTACAGGACACACAGTGACATCACAGTCTATAACAGCCTGTGTAGGTTTGCTCTGTGCTGCCCCTACAGGACACACAGTGACATCACAGTCTATAACAGCCTGTGTAGGTTTGCTCTGTGCTGCCCCTACAGGACACACAGTGACATCACAGTCTATAACAGCCTGTGTAGGTTTGCTCTGCGCTGCCCCTACAGGACACACAGTGACATCACAGTCTATAACAGCCTGTGTAGGTTTGCTCTGTGCTGCCTCTACAGGACACACAGTGACATCACAGTCTATAACAGCCTGTGTAGGTTTGCTCTGTGCTGCCCCTACAGGACACACAGTGACATCACCCACTGTCCTGGTCCTCACTGCCTGCACGTCGACACTCCCACTGGTTGTTCTTCATTTTTAAATGTAATTATTTCAATTATCCCACACACCTGAAACAATATCTTACACCTTTAGTTCCACTTACAATCTTTGTCGCACTGACACAATACTCTTTTCTTCCACACCTTCTTCTTCCAGCCATTCGCTCCCTCCCTTTGTTGAAGAACACTGTGTTACAGCACTTTAAAACTGTAACTGGTTTTGATGTGTCTTCTTTTGTATTTTGTTTGTGTTAAGTTGTGTTCCCCATCAGTATTATAATGTATTGAATTTGTTTTGTACTGTACTGTAGTTTAAAGGGGGAGTGGGTAACCTCTGAGAGCTGAGTGTGTGTGAAGTGAATGTGTTTTTTTAATGTTTGTATAATTGACTGTTGCTGCTGTGTTGTTATTTTTGTGTTTGATTTTGAGGACCCCCTCGGAAACTAAATAATTCATCTCAAGGGGTTATTATTACTATATCTTCTCACCAAACAGTTTTTGCTGCATTTCAAGTTATATTCACCAGTTTAGGCACGTATTAAAAGTGAGTAAAGGTTAAAAAAAGCCTACTAACAATTTTGGGGGAATTGCCGTTAATAAAATAGATTTATGGGAATTGCTCAGAACTCTGTTGGTTGGAATGGGAGCAGTCAAAATGGCAGCTCTGGGAGTTTTAGCAGTTTCATGATGAGTCCTGGTGTTAAGCACAGCTGCAGCACCTGTGTAGTGACATCATCATCAGCTGCTGTGTCTGCTCCACAGATGCAGTCCCTCAGGTCTCAGTCGGAGCTGGTCCCAGAACCTCGGGGCCGTCTGCCAAAGGTGTGTGCTGTGGCGGCGGCAGCGGTCTCCATAGCAATGACGGCCATCTTTGTCCCGGGGAGATTGGTGGGGTGGGTCTCCATGGCGACGCTCCTGCTGTCGCTCGGCCCCTTGGTTCACGGGTGTTTCCTGTGTTTGGATGAACTGCTCCACCACAGAAATAGGTGAGAGGAGCCGGATCCTGGAGTATGGAAGTGGCCAGATTCATTTCAATTTGATTTGATTTTCAGTAAAACTACATTTTAAAACATGTGCAAAAGTTCCCCACCGTGCAGAAGACAAATATATGAAAAACAAGCTATAAAGTACAGGGAACATTTGTCGCTGGTCAATAATATTTATGTTTTATTCAAAGGTTTATTATTATTATACTTTTATACTATACAATTATAATGAATTAATCCATTCTAAAACACAATCTTGATCCGGTACATTTAGGGACATTTATGGACATGTATAAACATAGATCATCCTGCTCCTTATGGACCAATGGCTCTTATGTGTTTGTATTTGTTTGATTCTCTTATCTATTGGTGATAAATCGAAAAATCCGAAACGACTACTGTTGTGATTTAGAGCTCTACAAAAACACATTGAAATGAAATGAATAACATTATTTGTTAACAATGAGCAGCATTGTGTTTCCACCCTCGGGGCTGCGGAAGGGAACATTTTGAGGCTATTTTTCTCAGCTTCATGTTTTCAGGGGACCTCACTTTCAAATCGATCCTCAAAATATGATCAGATATTCAGGTGTTAGGCATATTTGGAAAGCTAAGAATCTACAGAATTTCAGAAAAACACAATAACTCGGAAGAGGCCTTTGGGTAGATCTGTTCTTTCTTCCCACACAGCCGGAAAAATCTCCTTAACCAGCAAAGTCAGAACATGGACCTTATAAAGAAGTCTGGATTTATTGTTTTCTGCCTCAAATCAATGATGAAATGTTGTATGCTATATTTCATTATGCTTTATGAAGGGTTGGACGTCTACACCACAATATCTGGCAACCCCCGAACAGAGATAGATGATTGTTGTGTGTTCTGTTTGAATCTGGCGTGACATGGTGTAATGTGCGTGTGTCAGATACAGGGGGCGCTCTGTCCTGCAGCCTCTGTGCGACTGTGGCCTGCGGCGGTCTGTGGTGTGGGTGGTGTTGTCCGCTCTGCTGCTGTGTCTCTCTGGGAGTCCTCTGCCCCCGTTCCATCTGTGGACCCTGCTCTGGCTCTGTCCCGTCCTCCACGCCGCCTACAGGAGCCTGGGAGTACTGGTACTGGCCTCATTATCCATCAGATTAAAGAACACCTATCATGCTCTGTTTCTGTTCACTTTGGCCCTTGAATGTGAGAGTATCAATGTTTACTTCATGGTTAGAATGTTACTTCTCATCTCGTCCCTCGCTGTAACACAGTTCAACACGGTTCAACACGGTTCAACACGGTTCAACACGGTTCTACACGGTTCAACACGGTTCAACACGGTTCAACACGGTTCAACACGGTTCAACACGGTTCTACACGGTTCTACACGGTTCAACACGGTTCTACACGGTTCAACACGGTTCTACATGGTTCTACACGGTTCAACACAGTTCAACACGGTTCTTCACGGTTCAACACGGTTCACGTTTCGGGCCTCGCCATTTGGCAGAATTTCTGTGTTTGCGATTTCGCTTGGTTTTTACAGTGGGCCCTGCGTATTCTCCATTAACGTCTGAAGAAGATGACAAAGTCTGGGATCGCGTCTTAAATTCAGACAGAAGACATGTTTTATTGTCGATGGTAGAGACAGCACGAACAAAGCATGAACAAAGCACACACAGAATGCAAGTGTATTATACAGAGCGTTGGCATGGAGACCTCCAATCAGCAGCTTCCACGGTGTGCTGGTAGCTTGGCCTTCAGATAGACAAAACAAGGGAAAAGTACTGGCTTCTGCACATTGATAGAATGAGTTTAACTTTAACAAAAGTTGCTTCAAAGTGTTATGAAATCTCACACGTCATTGATCCTCATTTAACTGCTGGTAAACAATACTTATGCTAGTATAACAATACTTATGCTAGTATAACAATACTTATGCTAGTATAACAATACTTATGCTAGTATAACAATACTTATGCTAGTATAACAATTCTTATGCTAGTATAACAATGTTTATACTAATAAAACCATACTTGTGCTAGTATAACAATACTTATACTAATATAATCATATTTATGACAGTATTTAAAGACAGAAGAAAAATGGTGTGTCTTGTGTGCACCACTGTGATTAGTTCCAGGGACTTCCCAGGGTTCCTGTGGCCCTCAGTCCTGCTCCTCTGTGAGGAGAGAGAGCGCTTTGTGAGTATGTGGAAGGCGCTATATAAATAAAGATGACGTCTGGTCCTTCCGGTTCCACGCAGTGGATTATCTCCCATGATGCATTGCGCTAAATATGCGTGTGTGGCTCTCATGCACGTGCACAGAGGGGCTCGGCCGCGCTCTGACCAATCAGAGCTGCTGATCAGAGCAGCAGCGGAGAGGAGCCAGAGCGGGAAGGAAAGGAGCAGAGTTTGTGGCAGTAAAGTGTTTATTTAAAGAAACGGAGGATTTAAGAAGAAAAAAAGTTCAGGATGACAAGGGACACTAAAATCCCCACACAATCCGACCTTTATGAAAGCTGTAGGTTCTCTGTCAGCTGAGGTCGAGCTGTTTTAGTTTACATTGAGTTCTATGGAACTTTTTTCTGGGGGGCCCTCGTGAATTTAGTCTGCAGTACCATGGGTGCCCCCTGTGCCCATGGGGGGGACAGCTATAAGCTAGTAATTCTCTATCCAGTTATGATTATAGATCCATGGTCTGGACTGTTGGAGAACGTCTCTGTAGACTGTGATGTCACTGTGTGTCCGTAACATGTGTCTCTGGTCCGTAACATGTGTCTCTGGTCCGTAACATGTGTCTCTGGTCCGTAACATGTGTCTCTGGTCCGTAACATGTGTCTCTGGTCCGTAACATGTGTCTCTGGTCCGTAACATGTGTCTCTGGTCTGTAACATGTGTCTCTGGTCCGTAACATGTGTCTCTGGTCCATACCATGTGTCTCTGGTCTGTAACATGTGTCTCTGGTCCATACCATGTGTCTCTGGTCTGCAACATGTGTCTCTGGTCTATAACATGTGTTACTGTTCTGTAACATGTGTCTCTGGTCTATAACATGTGTTACTGTTCTGTAACATGTGTCTCTGGTCTATAACATGTGTTACTGTTCTGTAACATGTGTCTCTGGTCCGTAACATGTGTCTCTGGTCCGTAACATGTGTCTCTGGTCCGTAACATGTGTCTCTGGTCCGTAACATGTGTCTCTGGTCCGTAACATGTGTCTCTGGTCCGTAACATGTGTCTCTGGTCCGTAACATGTGTCTCTGGTCCGTAACATGTGTCTCTGGTCCGTAACATGTGTCTCTGGTCCGTAACATGTGTCTCTGGTCCGTAACATGTGTCTCTGGTCTGTAACATGTGTCTCTGGTCCATACCATGTGTCTCTGGTCTGTAACATGTGTCTCTGGTCCATACCATGTGTCTCTGGTCTGTAACATGTGTCTCTGGTCTATAACATGTGTCTCTGGTCTATAACATGTGGTACTGGTCTGTAACATGTGTTTCTGGTCTATAACATGTGGTACTGGTCTATAACATGTGGTACTGGTCCGTAACATGTGTCTCTGGTCCATACCATGTGTCTCTGGTCCGTAACATGTGTCTCTGGTCTGTAACATGTGTCTCTGGTCTATAACATGTGTCTCTGGTCTATAACATGTGTCTCTGGTCTATAACATGTGTCTCTGGTCTATAACATGTGTCTCTGGTCTATAACATGTGGTACTGGTCTGTAACATGTGTTTCTGGTCCATACCATGTGTCTCTGGTCTATAACATGTGGTACTGGTCTGTAACATGTGTTTCTGGTCCATCTAATGTGTCTCTGTAGTCTCCCTCTGAGTTGGAGCTGTCAGACGTCTGTGAGAGCCGCAGGACCAACGTGGCCCATGGTTTGGCCTGGTCCTTCTACCTGGGATACCTGCAACTGGTGCTGCCCAGTGAGACACACACAACATACAAATACACACACACATATATACAGTACAATTGTTATTCAAAATAATAACAATTGTAAACCGCTTTGTAACTCTGGTCTGGCGGTATATAAATAAAGATTACTTACTTACTGACACACAAACAGCACAGACAACATACAGACCACACAGAATACACACAAACAGCACAAACCACACGTATATATATATTAACCATAGATCCTCTTCCTCCTTTAGATCTGGAAGAGTCCATCTCTGCGTTCTGTGCGTCGCACCTGAGCAGCGCCCCCTTGTGGAGCAGAGGGTCCCGGCGCCTCTTCATCCTCGTCCCCTTGAACGCCAACATCAGCCACAAACTGGAGGACGAGGACGAGCGGGTCCAGTTCTACGACAACCTCCCCAACAGCAGACTGGACCGAGCTGGGGTCCGGGGCCGGGTCTACAAACACAGTGTCTACAGAGTCCTCAGCTCCAAGGGACAGGTGCACCTCAGAGACATAGGCTCCATGGATGTGTTGTTCAGGTCTGTATGTTCAGGTCTGTATGTTCAGGTCTGTATGTTCAGGTCTGTATGTTCAGGTCTGTATGTTCAGGTCTGTATGTTCAGGTCTGTATGTTCAGGTCTGTATGTTCAGGTCTGTATGTTCAGGTCTGTATGTTCAGGTCTGTATGTTCAGGTCTGTATGTTCAGGTCTGTATGTTATGATCCACATCCTAAAGTCTGCGGTGACCGTCTACAGCCACCATCTAAACCAGACGTGTCAAACTCAGGCCTGTGGGCTAAGTCCGGCCCACGAGACAATTATTAGTGGCCCCTGAAAGGATTTTCAAGTATCATTATAGTAACTTGCAGCATTGATGGTATAACATGGGCTTCTGTGGCTTGTTATACTTCATTTTAAAGCTTATTTTCTCAGTAGAACACCTTTACATGTAATTAGAAGTTCAGTTAGGTGTAAGATTTTTTTTTTTTTTTACTTTTAACTCAGTCATTTTCAACCCCTTTATTAGTCCATTTCTGGGTCCACCCAATGCGCAAAGCACCAGTCCCTCTGATCCTCTGCAGGGGGGGGAGTTCACAGGAAGATGGCTGCTACATCAGTGGTGAAACTGTCTTCAGACAATGTGGGGTTAAGTGTCTTGCTCAAGGACACAACGACAGTAGACATTTGTAGGAGCAGTTGGAGTAGGTCCCGTTAGGGCTGGGCGGTATAAACGGTATAAATTTGGCCAACGGTAGAGATTTGTTATACCGGCATATTGCGGTATAGATCATTATGTCATCAATTTGAAACATGCTTGGCCTGCTGGGACCGGCAACAACCACGAGAGGGTTGTCTGCAGCCTGCAAGACAGAGGCGTGTCGTGAAGTGGGCGTGTCGTCACGTGCCACAACCACAGTAGACATTTGTGGGAGCAGTTGGAGTAGGTCCCCGTGGCGGGCTTGAACCCATGACCTCCCCCCCAAAGGCCAATGCTCTACCAACTGAGCCACTGTCGCCCCATTTGATGATGAATCATCAATTACAGTTGTGATTGACTCCAAACCTACAAGAAAATAATATCAAAACGCATGTCAAATAAAATTGTCAAGATACAAAAATATGTTTAATAAAATAAACAAATAGGATAATAAAAGTAAATCACTTTTATACTTTTGGCCCCAATCAGCTCTCATGTTTTTAAACATGGACCAGGACCAAAGTGAGATAGACACCACTGATTGAAACACTTTTGTTCATTAAATCCAATTAGAACTGATCAGAAATTAAATATTGCAGAACTGAGTCTTTTCAACACAAACACATTTCTCTATAAACTTTGAGATTGTGGGTAAATAATAATTTGGGATTTCTCGTTCTGTTTGTACCAACTTGGACTGAATATAATTGTGTTTGCTAAAGGAGCTCAACTATTCAAGGACCCTTCCATTAAGAGTCTATTCATCTCAAAGAACAATACAAATGTGTAGATGCTGATTTGGTTGTCCGTGCATCCGTGTAAAAATCACAAGTAAAGTACCTTAAAGTATCCACTGTGAGCATAAACTCTTATTTCCCTGTGGATCAGAGAAACTAAAAGTGTTGAATAATTCTGTTTTATCAGATTAGTACAGACACAAGGAGAGGCAGCAGTTTCTGAACTTACTCTAATCACTTTAAAGAAGAACTTGTATTGACGGTGAAGGAACTAAATATATTTCACCTTGGAGAGACCCATGAGGAAAACGCATTAGACTTATTAGATTTAAGCATGTTTATTGATTGAGCATGTTTGGCGCCCTAGGCCCGGGCGGGATGCTGTTGAGCACGGCGCTTGCTCGCGTGCATGATCCCCAAAAAGCGGGCCTGCGATTGGGATAGCAGGACGCACTGCGCGGGCCTGAGAGCATGAGCGAGCTGAGAACATGCGCGCACGCGCATGTTCAGCCAGCCGCTGTAGCAGAGGAATCTTTGAGCGAACTGAGAACATGCGCGCACGCGCATGTTCAGCCAGCCGCAGCAGAGGAATCTTTGAGCGAACTGAGAAGATGCGCGCATGTTCAGCCAGCCGCAGCAGGGGAATCTTTGAGCGAGCTGAGAATATGAGCGCACGCTCATATTCAGCCAGACGCTGAAGCAAGGAATCTTTGAGCGTTTGAGGAAAGTGCGTGCCGCCACCAGAATCTTATTGCTTACTTGCTTTGCTGGGAGCTTACGAGGAAGCCGGTAGACGTTGTGCTGCCATGATAGCGGTCGCATCTGGCCTGATGTAGGTGGAGAAGCCGAAGAGGACCAGCGCCCCAGCTGTTGCAGAGAAGAGTGGGGGAGCCCCAGCGAGGTCGCGCGCGTGGCAGCGCCTATCCTGTGGCAGCGCCTATCCTGAAGGAGTGGGCTGTATAGAGCTGGGGAGACAAATTGCAGACTTCAGAAGGAGCAGTAGTGATCTTAGTCGAGCTCTGAACCAGGTTGCTGTCATGGGAAGAGTGTCTGGAGTGGGGAAGAGTGTCTGGAGTGGGGAAGAGTGTTTGGAGTGAGAAAGAGGTCCGTTAAGATTTCCTTTTTGCAGCGGAGGCGAGTGTAACGCATCATGGACCTGTAGGGGCAGAGAGATGTGTCCGAGCGAGCTGTTACTATATTGCAGGCTCCTTGATTTTTGAATGTTTGAGACGGAGGTTGAAATGGTCAGGGGACATTATGTTGGGTGAAAAGAGCGACCTTTGTGTAATGCTTCCACTACGTCGAGATTATCCCACGTGACAGAGATCCTCTCTCTGCCACGCGTGATTCCACAGCGCGCAGGCCACGACCACTGGGAATATCACGTGTAGGGCAGAGGAGATGCTCCGGTGGAAAGTAGCGGCCACGCTCGGCAACCAGTGGTCCTGGAAGAATCCCCCAAAAACCCACGGAAGGGGCAGCGTCCGTGTAGAAGCGGAGACCTGTAGGGGCAGAGAGACATGCCGGAGAGGGCCATTGATGTTGCAGGCGCCCTTACGCTTGAAACCTTGGGTTGGAGAGTAGATAATCAGGATAGTGGATGGTCGGGACGGCCGTGTTCCGGACCGTATGAAGGTTGAGTGAGCAATGGTGAAACGCTTACGCAGAGAAGCCATAGAAGGAGAGCAGGAAGATGCTGCGAGGAGGGCGGACATGTACTTGGGAGATGAGCCGGAGTTCAGCGCCGCTGCAGGATGGACAGCATGATGGGGAGCCTGCGATCAGAAGAGTGAAGAATACAGGTATGGATGCCTTTGATTAGGAGTCCGATTGACGGCTCAGCGCAGCTACTCGGCCAGCTGCATCTGATAGAATCAGAAGATTCAGTAGAGAGATGAAGCACGACCGCCGAAGCGACCCTGGGAGCATAGGTGCGAGTCCAGCGCAGCGCGGCATGCTCAGCCGGGCTGCATCCATTAGAAGCAGGATAAGCTTCTGAGAGAGTGGGTTGCAGCAGTAGCAGCAGCGGCAGCAGCAGTAACCTCAGAAAATAACGGAAATAGTCCTGTATCAAGCCGCGACGGTAGCAGCAGCAGCAGCGTCCTTAGAGAATAACAGTAATATCCTGTATCAAGCCACAGCAGTAGAATGTTGTAGTAGCTGCTCAGTGTTTCAGTAAAAGAGATGCAAGTGAAGAGAGATGGCAAGGTAAGTGAAGCAGCAGCAGCAGCAGTAGTTGCAGCAGTAGCCGTATGAAGCAGCAGCAGTAGCAGTAGCAGTATGAAGCAGCAGCAGCAGTAGCAGTATGAAGCAGCAGCAGCTGCAGCATCCGTTGATAATAGCAGCAATAATCCTGTATCAAAGCCAGAGCAGTAGAATAAGTTGTAGCTGTTTAGTGTTTCAGTAAAAGAGATGCGAAGTGAAGAGGGATGTCAAGTACATGAAGCAGCAGCAGCACGGCAGCAGATGCAGTATGAAGCAGCAGCAGCAGTAACGGTAGCAGTATGAAGCAGCAGAAGCAGCATTAGCAGTATGAAGCAGCAGCGGTTGCAGCATCCGTAGATAATAACAGCAATAATCCTGTATCAAAGCCAGAGCAGTAGAATATTGTTGTAGCCGTTTAGTGTTTCAGTAAAAGAGATGCCAAGTGAAGAGAGATGTCAAGTACATGAAGCAGCAGCAGCACGGCAGCAGATGCAGTATGAAGCAGCAGCGGCAGCAGTAGCAGCAGTAACGGTAGCAGCATGAAGCAGCAGCAGCAGCAGCGGTTGCAGCATCCGTAGATAATAACAGCAATAATCCTGTATCAAGCCACCGCAGTAGAATATAGTTGAAGCTGTTTAGTGTTTCAGTAAAAGAGATGCGCAGTGAAGAGAGGTGTCAAGTAAAGAAGCAGCAGCAGCACGGAAGCGGTAGCAATATGAAGCAGCAGCGGCAGCAATAGCAGCAGTAGCGGCAGCAGAAGCAGCAAGCAGCAGCAGCACAATGCGATTCATACGAACAACAGACGTGTCACGCCAGTGTGCGCCGCTTGTCTCCGTGAGCCAGGTTACGTACGTGTCTGAAGAGCCGAGCCGTAGAGACAGGTGCAGCCTGGGAGCCTGCGGAGCGGCAGCGGCAGGAACAGCAGCAGCGGCACATGTAGTAGTAGGAGCAGCAGGAGCAGGCAGCAGGGACAGGCAGCAGCAGGAATAGGCAGCAGCGGGATCAGGCATCAGTAGGAACGGCAGCAGGGACCGCAGCAGCGGCGGTCAGAGAACCATGCCCACGGTTGTTTAAGAGCCTGAGGAAATAAATCAACCCGAATCCGAAACATTCCCATGCGAGAACAGATGTCCCCTGGAGCCATCTTGCTGCTTTGGTTATGGCAGATACGCATGAACGATCACTGATCCATGCGTTCATTAGCTCCAGCTCCACTTCAAACCCATTACATATTCACATTGGGCCCCTTTTCTTTCTGCTGCACTTTCGAAATGCAACAACTGCAGTTTAGTTACCCAGTTTAATACTAGTGACCTAGCTATTTAAATGCATGGCCCCTCCTTCCTCCTGCAGATAGACGAATTTAAATACATCATTTAACAATAGTGACTTGCGAGTGATGAGATTGATGCTGTAAAGATGGCGCTGTGCAAGAGCTCTGTGTGTGCCGTCTGGAGCACGATGGGGTAGTCTTTGCACATTTTTTCCAACGTGGTTTTACTGCAAGTGGCAGAACATGAATCTGAATTAATGCACATTGCTCCTCTTATATCCCTCAGACATTGGAGATTGATGCCATTTAAGATGCATTGTCCCTCAGTTAGCTCAAACACGTGTAAAACGGAGCCTGCAGACCAAGCACGGGGCGAAGACTGACGCCTGCAGTCAAGTGCGTAGGGCAAAAACCAGTCGCCTGCAGCCTAGACTCCGGGATTAAACTGTCCGCGGTCGGCACGCTCACTGTACTCACATGCCAGGAGACTTGGGAAAGCAACGGGACAACGCGGCACCGCCAGTCGGAGGCAGGGACACGCACGGCACCGCCAGACCGTCTGCGCGCGGCAGCAGACCACGAGGAACGAGCAGCACAGAACCCGCGGAGGGGCCCCGCGGAGCAGCCCGCAGAAGAGCCCGCAGAGGAGGAGAGCAGTGGGGATATGCGAACCACAGCAGTGCAGGGACGTGGAAGAGGAGCAGACCACGAGCAGCCAGACTGAGGACAGCCGGGCCACGCGCACGAGCAACACGTGAGCAGAAGCGACCCCTCCAGAACAACGCATGCATTTGCGAACAGGTGCGTTAGCGACATGCACCTTGCAGGCTTCAGAAGCTTGCAGACTTCAGAAGATCGGGAAGTGGGCGTCTCCGGCTTTTAACTTGCTGTCCTGGTGGTTATTGGTTGACTGGGTGTGGGCGTTGTTGGTATTGATGAGTCGAGGAAGAGCAGCCTGTGGCCTGGCAGCAACAGCCGGGTCTACCACGGTGAACTTTCGCGAAAGCTCCATAAATATCCATGAGCTCTCGTAGGTTTGAAGTTTGGTTCCATTAAAACATGTTTAATATTTCAGGATGAATGTGTTTGTGAGAGCGACCTTTCTGCTTCTACTTCTGTTTTTGTTTTATTTGTGATATAGTTAGAGGCTTGTAACAAAGTGGTCAAACTGTGTGAAGTCTTTCTATTGCACGGTTCATACAAAATAATATAAGATAAGATAAGTTAGACTTTATGGATCTCACACTGGAGAAATGCACATGTCACATTTGGCACAGATAGAATCACTCAGACTGTGCAAAAGACAGAAGTTAAAAGTTAAAAATATAGTCTGTGCAGGATATAATTATGGCAATAAAAGAAAGAGTGGCAATATCAGTTCAGGTTTTTTCAGTCCTAAGGCAAGTGACTTAAAATGACTTATTGTACAGTCTGACAGCGTGGGGATAAAGGTCCTGCGGTAGCGCTGCTTCTTGCTTCCCAAATGTTTCAGTTGACACATTTAAACACACAGTCATAGGCACAGCTAAACACGACTGTTTTCAGCCGAGACTTATATACAGACAGGGTAACGGCCTGTCCCTGTGCTCCTCACAGTAGCAGCAGGAGGCCTGTCCCTGTGCGCCTCAGTCATAGCAGGAGGCCTGTCCCTGTGCGCCTCAGTCATAGCAGGAGGCCTGTCCCTGTGCTCCTTAGTCGTAGCAGGAGGCCTGTCCCTGTGCTCCTCACAGTAGCAGCAGGAGGCCTGTCCCTGTGCTCCTCAGTCATAGCAGGAGGCCTGTCCCTGTGCTCCTTAGTCGTAGCAGGAGGCCTGTCCCTGTGCTCCTCACAGTAGCAGCAGGAGGCCTGTCCCTGTGCTCCTCACAGTAGCAGCAGGAGGCCTGTCCCTGTGCTCCTCAGTCATAGCAGGAGGCCTGTCCCTGTGCTCCTTAGTCGTAGCAGGAGGCCTGTCCCTGTGCTCCTTAGTCGTAGCAGGAGGCCTGTCCCTGTGCTCCTTAGTCGTAGCAGGAGGCCTGTCCCTGTGCTCCTTAGTCGTAGCAGGAGGCCTGTCCCTGTGCTCCTCAGTCGTAGCAGGAGGCCTGTCCCTCTGCTTCTCAGTCGTAGCAGGAGGCCAGTCCCTGTGCTCCTCAGTGGCTTCATATGGCACTAACATGTCTTGGTGGTAAAGCTGAGATATCCATAGATGACACCTCTCCATGTGTGCTCCACAGGCTCAGACCTGTGTGGTGGAGTATGCCACGCCCCTCCTCACGCTTTACGGCATGTCCCAGGACGCCAGCGCTGGTTTTGGGGAGCCCCAGAGGAGACAACAGGTGCTGCTCTTCTACAGGACGCTGCAGGAGCTGCTGGAGCGCTCGCTGGAGTGTAGGAACAAGTACACCCTCATCCTGCTCAATGGTACCAGCTTTTAACAATGTGGATCTGTCTCCTGTGTGGCTGCTGATTGGCTCTTTAGGCTCCTGCTTCCATTGCCTAGAATAGGTCTGGTGTGTGTGTGAATGGTTGGTGGTGGTCGGAGGGGCCGATGGCACATACTGGTTGCCTCGCTTCTGTCAGTGTGCCCCAGGGCAGCTGCGGCTACAGTCGTAGTTTATCACCACCGTGTATGGAGTGAATGAATAATGACATGTGGAGCATCTTTGAGTGTCTAAAAAGTGCTGTAAAAAAACCATCGCATTATTAATATTATTATTTCTTAGATACACCTGAAGGATCTTATTTATGGTTTAAATGTTTTGTTCTTTTGTTAAGCACTTTGAGTCGCTTGTGTATAAACTGTGTATGCAAATGAACTTGCCTAAATACATTCTCTTTCTCAGACGAGCACGAAGGCGACCCTCACTACCTGTCCCAGTGCATCCTGAGGCACCTCCAGCAGCAGAGCAGAGAGGAGTACCCCATGGCCCCAGTGATCCCCCTCCCTCAGCAGGAGGGCGGGGGGTCATTGCCCAATGCCCCCATGGCCCCGGGACAGCAGGACCTGAGCCCCGAGCCCACCCTCATGTTTAGTCTGGACAAGCCCAGGTCCCTGAGGGACCCCATGGAGGTGTCTGAAGGTTACAATCCATCATGCACTGGATAACACCACAGTTAAAGCCGTTACAACAAGTACCAGCTCGGATTCTTTTATTCTGTGACCCTCGATACCCTCCACTAGTCCTTTAACATATTTTTCACACTTCGTGTCTGAGTAAAACTATTTATGCAAAATGTGACATGTACATTTCTCCATTGTGAGATCAATAATGTTTATCTCATCTTATATTATTTCGAATTCTAAAACATGAAATGGAAGTAAAACATCTCATTCTCATTTGAATGGCCAAAATAATCATGTACTGCCGCATGTTTTATGTGACAGTTCATCTGTAAAGAAGTGTTTATCCCTCTTTTAAACCCTGGCTGTGGTGTCACGGTAGATCCTCGTGTGATAGTAAAGTTCCGCCACTAAGGGGCAGACGTGGTTCTTATCTCGCTGCAGATGGTCCAGACGGGAGTCAGTGCGAGTCCTTTGTGTTCGATTCAAGTTGTGATTTGAACACATGACTTAAAATAACTCATTCAATCATTGAACTTGAGGCTGTGAAGTGTGATTGCAATAAATTTAGAAAATGCAAAAACAAAGTACTTTTTATTGAAAGTTTTTTGTGTCTTATGTTCAAGATAAAGTTGGACAGCTCTGGTGTAGCCTGGTCGTACCATACCATAGTACAAATTACATTTAATGATAATTGAGCGGAGTGTGCGGATTGCTAAGGCCAGACTAGCTCTGATGCAGTGTTGGAGGTTTTGCTTCTACTTCCTTGAAATATCAACATATTTTACCATTTTTCTACACAAACTGTGGATTAGTTGTTGCAATCTTTTCCTTTACATTATAATTGTTGCCTTAAAAACTCAAACATTAAAACAAGGAAATTAACAGTTTTGAGTTGTTTTGCCTAAGGATCTATGTATTGTAATGTATGATTGTATTTCTGTCTAACTCTTTCCATCCAGTGAAACGCCAGGAGGCTCCAGTGGAACTCATCAGAACTTAACACGGTTCAGATCTGCCTCTTTCTCTTCACCGTGTTTTTCCTCCATGTTTAGGTTTTTAAAGTATAGGATCAGACCATAGACTGTATATATTGATCAGACCAGACCCAGGCTCCTCCTCTTCACGTGTTGACTGCTGAAGGCCGAGATAAGAGTCTTCACGTGAGACCTGCTCCCTCCTCGGATCATAAACCGGTCTGACCTGATGGTGCCCTGATCACACCACAGCACTGAAAAACACACTGCCATAAACTCACAGTCTTCGATAAAGTTATTGTAGCTTTATGGCAAAACATTTTATTGATCAAAAATGCTGTATTTTATGTCCCAAACACCAGACTATATCAAACCAGGCAAAAGGTTTGGTCTGTGGGGAAGCAAGCCTGGAGACAAATATTATTTTTTATCTAAATGCATTTAAAAGTTGGGGTACGTAAGTTCTCCCTCATGAAAAATCCATGTTGTTTTCCGCAACAGAAAGTCTTGTAAAAGTAAGATTTTGCAAAAAATTCAGCTGTCTTCATCTTAACCATATCTGTTGAATACTTACATGTACTATTTGAAGCTATGGGCCTGAGAGCTGATTGGTCGAGTGACAGTGGTCCTCTCTTTTTCACTTTTCTGTCTGAAAAATCTGTGACAGTGGCCCAAAATACATGCATGTGAAAACTAGTGATAGAGCAAAACAGTTGTTGCACATGGATTTTATCTTAGACTTAGAGTTAGACAGACTTGATTGATCCATGAGGGAACTTGCGTTGTCACAGTAGCTTGCATAGTATTCCATATAAAATAACAATGAAAATAACAATAAAATACCAACCAGAAATTAAGAATAATTATAAGATACTAGTGTGGGAATAGAATAATCTCAGGGTTGGGGTTAGGGTTAGGGTTAGGGTTCTCAGGAATACACATATCTGTGAATATGGACATAATTACTTAGTTTTGTGTGGATTGAAAGTTGGGTACATCAGCTTTAAACACATAAGTATATAGTGATTTTGCTGTTATAGTTTGTGGGTCTTTTTGCAGTGCACTCAAAGACCTCAGAGATAAAAAGATAACGCTGCAGTGAACAGGACTGAAGGAGAAAGAAGTAGGGCAGTCGTTTATCACAGGTCGACAGCTCAGAGTTTGCACAGCAACAGGAGAAGGCAGAGAGCCGGAGGTGAGAGGAGAGCCGGGGGTGAGAGGAGAGCCGGGGGTGAGAGGAGAGCCGGGGGTGAGAGGAGAGCCGGGGGTGAGAGGAGAGCCGGGGGTGAGAGGAGAGCCGGAGGTGAGAGGAGAGCCGGGGGTGAGGGCAGGGGGTGGAGGAGAGGAGGGGTGAGAGCAGGGGGTGACCCTAGATTAAGATGAAGAGATGCTTTATTTGTCCGACAGTGGGGAAATTTCAGTGGTGCATCACAAGTTATAGAACATGAAAGAGGAGCACACGGCAAAAGTTAAGTGAACAATAGCTATACTAAGTCAAATAAAACAAAATCTCTAACTCTAGCATCAATAAGAATATAAAATCTCTAACTTGAAAATAATAATAAAAGAAATGTAAATGTTTTATAAAGTACTGTGTAAAGTACTGTGTATTCTAGTCAGGGGCGGCGCCAGGGGGGGGCTAGGGGGGGCTTGAGCACCCCCTGAGATTGTCAAAGCACCCCCAAAGCACCCCCAAAGATTTATGCCTCTTAATCATAGGAGAACTAGTTATCTCTACAGACATTCATAGTGCATTATAGGCTGTTTCATGTGAAAAGGAGTATGTGGGACAAATAATAATTTTAACTAAAGGAGAGTGCCTGGGCCGCCCAGGCTAAGACCCATTTTTACGTTAATACGGCCGTGCATCAGAACGCATGGTCAGCGACGCTCCATGTCGGACTGAGCGTGACTCCATGTTCATTATAGTCATGACATTTACCATCGATTTTATCAATCATTATGAGACAATATTAAGTTAGGCTGTAAATAAAATAAAATCCAAAAAGCTCACATTCGCGCAGAGCAATTTCCCGCGCCTGAAGTGTTGTTTGTCCTAATGTCCTTACTGTCCGAATGCTATAGTGGCCCAAGTAAATAAATGTGAGCAAAATGGAGCGTTTTTTGGTCCCTAAACGACCCCGAGTGGAGTCTACGGAAAATGAGTCGGGGAATGCCGTTTGTACAAACTCAAAATCTATGCCAAACACCTGTGAGGAAATCTCTTCGAACTCGGAGGAGGAGGAGGAGGAAGGTAAAAGAGTGCCACCGCGGGCCGAAGCTAATGAGGCGACCGATGCTAATGAAGCTGCAGGTTCTAATGTGGTTTCGGGTACTGCTGGTCAGGAGTCTCAGTCTTGTACTGATATCAGCGCACATCCACAAAATGGTCCCAGCCAACCACTCCTACAGAAATACCCCACAAGACAATATGGAGCGCAGCAGCGCAGTTTTAATAAAGGCTGGTTTGATCTATATTCATGGCTCGAGTACAGCGTTACCAAAGACTCAGTTTGGTGTTTTGCATGCCGTCATTTTTTAAAACGTGGGGGACCTGGGTTTCATCATCTGGAGGCAACTTTTACAACAAATGGATTTTGTAATTGGCGAAAGGCAACACAAACTCTGAGGGGTCACAACGAAAGTGCTGGTCACAAATTTGCAATGGACCATTGGGGTGAATTTAAACTAAAGGGGACCAGAGGATCAAAAATGGCCAATTTGTTAGACAAAGGACACTCGCAGTTAGTACAAGAAAACAGACAATACATTGGAGCTGTAGTTGAGAGCCTTCGCTATACGGCCTGTCAGGGCATAGCGCAGCGAGGCCACAGAGAAGATGAGGAGTCCGCAAACAAAGGGAATTTTTTGGAGCTCTTACATATCATTGCTAAATTTGACAAAACAGTGGCCAAGAAACTTTCAAACATAAGTGGGAATGCAAAGTACACTCACCATGATATCCAGGATGAAATAATATCCGTTATGGCTGATATAATAAGAAGCGAAATCAGTGATGAAGTGAGAGAGGCAGAGCACTTTGCGCTTCTTGTTGATGAAAGCAAGGACGTCAGCAAAAAAGAACAAATCTCAGTTATTGTCCGTTATCTGCATCCACAGTCGGGAGATGTGCGTGAAGAATTTCTGCATTTCACCCCTGCAGAAGGCCTTGACGCGGAGTCGTTACTCTTATCCATCAAACGCACTCTGAGCCAATGTAAAATAGATGCCAATCACTGTGTTGGGCAGTGTTACGACGGAGCTTCTGTTATGTCGGGGTCAAACAATGGAGTTCAGGAGAAATTCAGAAAAGACGTCCCGCAAGCTATTTACATACACTGTTACGCTCATAGACTGAATCTAGTGTTGGTAGACTGTGTGCGCAACGTGAAACCAGCTACTGAGTTTTTTGAAACAGTAGGGATGCTCTACAGGTTTTTTTCGGGATCTGTTGTTCATGACATTTTTTTTGAAGAAACAAAAAGAACTTAATCCATCTCAATGCGTTGAATTAAAACGGCTGAGCGACACAAGATGGGCATGCCAATACAATGCAGTTGCCGCACTCAAGAGCACCATTCCTGCCCTACAAGCCACACTACGCAGCATCCTGGAAGGATCCAATGCGCATAGGAGGGCAGAGGCGAGAGCTATTAGCTCCCTCATTGATGAGTCGTTTATCTTGCATCTTGTTCTTTTTGAAGATGTACTCAGAACAACTAAGTTTATGTCAGATCAGCTACAGGCTCCCAATTTTGATCTTGTAGCAGCAGATGACTTGGCTCAATCAGTTATCACTGCGCTTTCAGAAAAACGCACTGACCAGACATGGGAAAGGTTAAGACAGAAAGCAGAGAGCATGTGTGTCGACAGTGGAATAAGACAGACCCAAAAGGAGAAACGCCAAGTTCAAACAAGACATCTGGAGGGATTTGTTGTTGAGGCTCCTATAGAAAGGGCGCGTACCAATGACATGGATGTGCTTAAAGTAGCGTCATTCTTTCCTGTGTTAGACAAACTGAGAGTGGAGATGAAGCGGCGTTTTTCTACAGAAACAAACAACGTGATGAAAGGTGTACAGGCGCTCTCCCCAAAACATACAGGTTTTCTGGACAAGCAACTACTTCTGCCCATGGCCCAGCATTATGGAGTGCGAGAGGAAAACCTGTCTGCGGAACTACATCAAGTCCGTCGGCTTCTAGAAAGGAAAAAGCAACAGGGACATGCTGTAAAAAGCCCACAGGATTTTCTGCACCTTTTGCGCCCGTACAAAGAGGCCTTTATGGATTTGTTCAAACTGATCAGCATATCCTTGACCCTTCCTGTTACATCAGTGAGCTGTGAGAGAAGTTTCTCGTGCCTGCGCAGACTGAAAAATTATTTAAGAAACAGCAGCGGGGACACACGGACCAGTAACCTGGGACTATTGGCCATTAACTCTGCTAGAGCGAGGGCCATGGACAGTGATAGGATAATTAACGCCTTCGCTGTCAATCACAACAACAGACGTATTGTGCTGTTATGAAGACGTATAAATTGTAAGTATAAATGTTTTGAATGGTATATGCTAAGTCTAGTTATTTTTATAAAGGCGTTGATTTGAATGTTTGCTTTGTCTGGCAGTCTCGAGGGAAAGAATGCGCCTACAAGAAACATCCAAATAGTAGGCTATGGGCACAGCCTTGAAAGGAATACAAAAATAACAGGCTTTATATCCCTCATTAAATGGACAGTTTTTCGAAGTTGTACTTGTTAGCTTATAGGGGACTGTTTTTGTTAGGCCTATGTGTTTATTTTGGTAAAGTGTGTTTCCCTCGGCACAAATAATAAAAATTACAAGATTTTTTTGTTCATCATCGTTCGATTTATTAATCAACAAATAGAGATTATTTTGATTATATTATTATGCTTGATGCAACTCTTGCATGCAGCCAGGGTGTGTTTAAAAGGGGACATTCGTAAAGATGACATGCTGTTATGGCACACTGGAACACACATGTCCTTCCCACGCGGGTCACATAAAAACAACTCCGCGGTGGCTCTTCTGTGCGATGTGCCTCATGGTAAACAAACGCGGATCCGGACGGAGCGCATCCTCCTGTCCTCCACCGCGCGCAACAGTTCCACCGGCTGGCGGCTGCTGACGCTTTTGCAATCCACTCTGTAGGATATTTTCCCATGCGCTTGCGGTGGAATACACGCGTATATACGTTATTATTGGATTATGTTGCCCAATACAACTGACTGCGCACATAACATGTTATGTTGAGCACCCCCAGGCAAGACGTCAGCACCCCCTAAGCACCCCCTATGACAAATGTCTGGCGCCGCCGCTGATTCTAGTGCAAGCAAAGTGTAGTTAAATATTAGCATCTGTACATGTTAGCAGCAGAAACCATAGACCGTACTTATTAACGGACATAATCACGCCTATCTCCGCCGTTGAAACTAATTTTCCACCACCTTTGCCTTATATGGGCAGATTCAAAATGGCAGCAGGGGGTGAAAAAAGGCATTTAATTTACGAGTGCATTCAAAAGTCCACAGCAACTAAACTAGACTGGCCCAAAAAATACACTCCCCTCAGCATTGACACACATTTGGAACATAGTTTTGGACCAAGAGCCACTTTTGGACCATCTTGTAAAGGTGTTTTTGAGAGTTAAGAAGATGCCATACATAAACATTGGCTAATTATTATTCTGGTTCCACCCCCACTGGCCCGGGGTGGTATTGCAGCATGTCAGTGCACGTCGTTTTGGACATTTTTAAGTCGGGACCCGCCCCCACTGGATGAAACATATGTTGTAGTTTTATAACCTTCTTCACCTGAAACACATGTGAGCAATGGGCTATAAAACAGTCTGGTTTTATTGCTTCCTAAATTATTGCAATATTTGGTTCACACCGAACATCTCGCAGTAAAAGGACTGGGTCGCAAGGCGGGTTAAATACCGAGTCGTTTTGGCACACCAGCCTGATGTGTTTTTGCGCAGTGGTAATGAGGCTACAGAGAATTACTTATAACTGAAGTTGAGCTGAATTTTGGTTTCTCTACAGACACATTTTTGCCCTTTTCCAAACTGCCCTCCTGTTTGTCTGCACGTGTCAAATGAACCATACATAACTCATCTTTTTTCCTTATTTTTTCCCCACACTCTGGTCATACTCTCTTTGATCTAATCTTCCGGTACATAAGCAGATGCAGCAGACCAGGAAGTCTCTCACGGTGTTAGTCCAGTGTCCGTGCGATGACTCCATGCTGTGATTCCCCTGAGTTTTTTCATTTCTGCTTCAGGATCTGCTGCAGAAATGATGTCAGCAACTTTTATGACGGAGTGAGGTCAGCTGAACACTGGTTACAGAATTACTCATTTATGGTTGACAGAAAGTTGGACATTTCTGTGAATCACATTAGGGCGAGGAAAACCATCAATAGAACAGAAAGTAGAACCAAGTAAAGCTTTTGGTTCTTTTTCACTCTGGAAAAGTTGATCTAAAGATATGACTGAGACCAAAACTACATCAATAATTATTCAAGAGAAACAAGCCTATTCTGGACCAAACTGGCTTCAAACCGGGAGCAGTTTAAAATCCATGACCTAAATATTCATGACCTATATATATATTTCATTATTTTGATGGATCTGTGTTATTCCTCATCGATCTTAAACGACACCGCAGCAGTTTCAGCCCAGACTTGTACGTGACCTAAATCTGAGTGACTGTAGCTGGAAACACAAGCAGCTCAGAAGTTCAACACTGGAGAGGAGCCTGCAGGAAGTGTGTGTGGGGAGGGGAGTCTGGGTGTCTCTGCTCAGACTGCTGCCCCCCAGGTCCAGCAACGGATAAAGTGGAAGAAAATGGATGGATGAATAATCTAAAACAACTATATTGCCCCATTAAAAAAAATTACCACAATACATCCATGTGTTCAGAGAGGATATTCTATGCCTCTGTCTGCTGAATGTGACTCGTAAAAAAAACACAACAATAAATTGCTTTTGAAAGTATATTGATAAATGGTATTATTGAGTATGGTGTTTTTTAAAAATATAATATACTATGACTATGACATTATTATCGGCAATTTGTGATTGTAAAACATAAAGGTACAAAAAGGTATGGCTCAGTGATATTCCTGGTCCCCTAGATGCAGTGGATCCAGTGTGGGCGGGTCCATGAGCATGTGCGCTGACAGGCTGCAATCTCACTCTGGGCCTGTGGGGGTGTACCTGGATAGAGAATTACCCAATGCTTTTGTATGGCGTCTTGTTTCCTCTCGAAAACAGCTTTACAGGATGGCCCTAAAGTGACTCTTGGCCCAACGCGACGTTCCACATATGTGTCAATGCTGAGGGGAGCTTTTTTTTTTGTGGACCAGTCTAGTTCAGCCGCTGTGGACTTTCGATGGCAATTGGGTTTTGTGAACATTTTCCGGCCCTGTGGCCATTTTGAAACTGCTCACAGAAGGCGAAAGTGATGGCCATGGATCTAGGTGATGGCACGCTAGTTTCAACGGCGGAGCTAGGCCCTTCATATTTACAGTCTGTGAGTGGATCTCAAACTGGGGGCCTGGACCTGGGGGTTAAAAGGTGATGTTTAAATGTTTGTTGTTACTGCATTTTTGACACAAAGAGCCTCCTGCTTCATGAAACATGGGGAGGCAGCATTCCAGACCTATGCAGCTAAAATCTGGAACAATCTTCCTGAAAGAGTGGGACAGGCAGCTGCCCGCTATATTTAAGTCTAGGCTGAAAAAGTATAGGTTATTTTTAGTTCTCTCCTGGTTCTGCATTCTGACACCTACTGTCATAAATGTATGCAGAAGTGACTAGAGCCGAAAGTTAGCGATCAGTGAATTTGTGTTTCTTCTTTGAGCATAAATGTTGCTGACAAGTGTTGTTTAAATGGAAAGAGAAAACTAGAAAAGAACTAGATTGAATTCAGTTGATCATGAAAATAAACATCAAATTTTTATCAATCCATTTAAAAACTAGTGGATTGATAATTTACACATTATGTAGAAAATAATGTGTAAATTAAAAAATGTCTAGTTTCTGAAAACCTCTGTGGATTCTGATCAGGTCTGAGTCATGACGGTGCCAAGAATGTGTGATGTTGCGTCAGATTTCACACTTTGCTGCAAAACTTCTTGCTTAAGATGCACTTTTTCTCTTTGGCATTTAGTACCAGAAAAGTTGTTTTCATTTTTTATGTGTCTATATATATTTCTGTATTTCTATATGTTTTTATAATGCTGTTTTTCTCTTGTCTGTACAGACTTTAGATAAGCCCAGGCTGTTTTAAATGTGCTTTATTTAAAGATAAATATTTGATTGATTGAAAACTGAAAAACACAAAGGTTCAAATGTGGTTTAAACTCAGATTATTAGCTCCTAATCTAAATATAAACAGTGGTTATACTTCAAACGGCGTAACTATATTCTGATCATGTAAAGAGGATGGAAGGGTTATTTCTTGTTTATCAATGAATGAAAAAAGGGGAAGAAAAGTAGAAAAACTGAGATTATACCTATAACTAACTATTCAAACTCTGCAAAGTCTGTTGCCAGTGGCATGATTGTGTTTAGTCAGGAAGTTTCTAGTCCAATCCAGATCTGAGCTCCTCCTGCTGCACGTGCTGAGGCATCTGTGGGCGTGTCTCTGCACATCTCCTGATGCATGCTGCAACAGCTGCTGTTATTGAGCTATTTATAATCTCAACTCGATTTATTATTATTATTTTCAAAGCAGTAGGTGTTAGGGTCAAAAGTCACATTAGAAGACATGTGGTTATATGCAAGAATAAAAATACTATGTGAATTAACGTTTGGTTGTCTCCTATGTCTAGAATGTTCTATAGTAGGGCACATCAAGAAACCTGCTCGCCAGGAAGAAGAGACAGAACTGAGGCTGTGACAGATGAGAAAGAAAGATAATACTGGTGTTATTATTTGCATGTACATAGAGCTGATGAAGGAGCAGGTCACATGATGCACTCAGGGACTGGACCAAAACAGGTTCTTTACCTTCAAACCAGAAGGTAAAGAACCAGCTTTTTAGTTTCATTATTATATAATATGTCCATGGCTTTCCAGCAGGACAAAAATTGTTTTTTAGAATAGAAATACAACATTGTGAATAAAAGTTTGCTCGTCTCGCCAGGAAGAAGAGGCATTATTGAGGCTATGACAGATACAAATCTGAAATCAATAAATAAAATAAATAACGTAAACTAATTGTTTTTGAGGCTTTGAACTGTTTTTGAGGCTTTGAACTGCTCTAATGCTGAGATAAGACCTTTAAGTTCCAGTTGATAGATCCTGTAGCCTTTATCAGAATCAGAATCAGAATAATTTTTATTGCCGACATAAATAACAGGAAGTCACAACTAGGAACTAGGAAATTGCTTTAGTTCTCAGTGCAAACAAGTTATAAAAGTAAAAAGTAGAATAAGGCTCACATAGAAAAAAAAAATACAAAAAAGTGCACTTAAAATTCTAAAGCTTACTTCCTCTTTATAGCCATGGGCGTTTCCATGGAGACACATACATCTTTGTAAAGTTATGTATTATTGGTAGCACAAATATATCTTGCACATGGTACACAGAGAGTGGCCATTCAAAGATCCTATATTTACTTAATGAGTCCTTTATATAATTCCAAACAAATAAATAACACATCATTCTTCCCTGTCATAAATGCATCTCTAATAATAATGTATTTAAGATTATTTTATCCACAGGGGCTGGCAATACTATTTTGGTAAATACAATTAGGTGTGCAGTAGGTTCTGGTTGTGTTTTTTTCCCATCTGTTTTTGTTTTAATTTTGTTTTTAACGCTGCGACAGAAAGACTGCACTGTCAACTGACGCAACATTACTAGTGGTGTTTCAGGGCTGCGTCCAATTTCATTTAAAAAAACCTCCTCCGTTATCCTTCCCATAACTCTTTCTTCTTCTGATGAATTTCAGCTCATGTTAAGTATCAATGAAGTTCAATTCAAGACCTATTTACGATTTATGAGCTGCGTTTTAATACTTTAGGGGCTAAGAAAAGGGAGACAGACGAAAGAAGGATCTGGAAGGAGGTTTTGTGTTTGTGATTTCAGACGCAGCCTTCTCCTCGCTCGGGTATATAGGGCGGAGGCTCACCAGCCTCAGCACTTGTCGGCTTGACATCATACATGGAGACACCACCGCACACACGCTCGGAGGAGGATCAGGAGCTAAACAGTCATTACAAAGAAGAATCAGGATGGTGTATACGGCAGCTTTGCTGTTCAGCCCTGGAATCCCGCTGCTCCCGGAGGAAACCACTGCGGCTCACCTGATCGACTTCTCCCCCGAGAACATGCACTCATCCCGGCGAGGCAGTGTGGAGAGCTGCGAGGACCATGACAACGGCTCTCTGTGTAAGTTTCCCCCTTGTAAAGCCCTCGGTTAATGCTTTATTTAACCATTTTGGGGAATGATTCGCCTTGATGAACTGTAAAATCGACTTTTGGTATCGGGCATATCACTACGCCACTCGGTGAATGAATGAAAACTGCCGGACTATTTTTTTTTTGTAGCGGAAGGATTCAGTTAAGACAATGGGGTTTCTGATGCAACATGACGATATGTTTTAAATGGTCACTATTTAAATAGCTTTACTTTAGTTCCCAAATGTAAGCATTAAACGAAATATCAACATTTATGGTATTTCACTAATTACTTAAATTTTTTGAGTTTCTGGGAGTTTCTTTGGTAGGCTACTCAACAAAACAACCTAAAATTATTTATTTTTATTATCCACAAACGTTCTTGATTTGTGGGTATGTTGAAGAGATGGTGATTATTATGAAAAGGTTTGTTTAGAAAAGGGGTTTAATGAAGCGAACTTATTTGAATCAAACCTCCGTCAATACATGACACTAGCGAATCAGGAAATTATATTATATAGCAAATGATGACTTAATTATGGTGTGGATGATACAATAATACAAATGGAATATATAACCAGAATTCTCAAGTGGATCTTTTTCATCCCCATGTTAAAATAAGACAAAACCTTATCGCAAAACATATGAAATCACATAAAAAGTGTGGCAATATTTTCTTATGTATTTTTTTTCAGCATAAATAAATGAATAAAAAATTGTCTTGCTGCAATTTTTGGATCTTTTGCCGAGTCATTAGCAACCACTTGTGGAAGCTGATCAGTCGTCTTCATGACTCATTCACTAGTGTGTTTGTATGTACCTAATGAGCCTATTGTCTCCTGCTGCAGGCGGCTCAGTGGAGGAGGAAGAGCGTCTCCTTCATCACGCCATAACTCGACAGCTGGAGCGGTGTCTGACGGCCTCAAAGTCCTCGGCTCTGAAATGCCAGGCCCTGATGCTTCCCTGTCACATGACCAGCAGAGTGTCCCAAGACGTGATCCGCGCCTCCGCCGACGAGCCCTGTGGCCTCCGCGGGGCCTTCGTCAGGGTCTACGCAGAGACCAAAGCCGGGCTGACATTCCTGGGTGCCTTCTCTCCGGACCCCAGCGTCACTCCCACCTTCGAGCTGTCCGTGTGGTTCAAGATGGAGGAGCGAGGCTGGACCACGCTCAAACGCATATTTGAACCCAGAAAAACGGTGAAGCTCCGGGCGGAGTACAGGCTGGTGAAGAGGAAGCTCTACTCTTCGGCGAGTCCGGTCATTCACGATTTCAACTAGGCTTGTAGGTGTTAGAATACAAGTGTACGCTGCAATAAGTGAGGAAAAAGTCAAAAATTGCTCAAATGTATGTTTATTTGAGCCCATTTTGACTGCCTTCATACAAGATGCCAAATGAGAAAAGGCACAATGATCACTTAGAATTAAGGCCAATTAGTCTTTAAATGAGACTTAATTGGCCTTGTCCCATCAGAAAATCTTGTGTTTAAGACTGTCAGAATGTACTCATTGATTAAAACCCCTTGATTCCAGCAATTATTACCTCATATTTGATCACTTTTTGCAGTGTAAGTACAGATACCCTTCCCATAGTGAGCCATGGTAAATGTTAGCTTTCATTTGTATACACTGAACTAGAAGCAAACACTAATTGTCTGTATCGATGAAAGCCCTGTGTACTTAACTGTTATTGCACTGGAAATGTTTTTTTTGTATGACTGTTGAAACCACAAGGTCTTTTTTTGTTTTTCACTGTGTGACCAGGTTGATCACTGTCATTTTGCACAGAGCGGTTGAATGTTGAGCCTAAATGTGGAAAAACGTATTCTTGTGAATGGGCTGGACTCATTCCCAAAGCTATTTATGGATTTGTACAAAATAAATCTCTTTAAATTTATTTCCTGTGGTCAGTTTCTTCTTTTCAGCCATTGGAGTCTTATGGCAGTGGGGACTCTATCAAACTGTCAACGGAGAGAAAATCCTCAGAATGCAGTCTCGCTTGAACTAGTTTCCCTCTTGAGGTTCACATCTGATCGCCTTTATTGCCTACACAATTACAAGCCTACACGATTTTGTAACCGCAAAGTATTTGGAGCATTGTCTCCCTAAAATTGCATTCTAAACTGTTGAGACTTGAATTAGGTTTAAGATGCCATACTTTTACAAAAAAGTGCCATTTCAACTGAAATATTTACCATCAATTTTAATCAGGTTCTGGGTCGGGTGTAGTTACTCACTCTGGGATGAACCAAGAGTGATTCTGAATGCAAGAGCAATAAGTGGCTGTTTTCTATCCATTTTTTAGAATGTATTACAGCCATTGTCAGGGTTTCAGCAGGAGATCAAGTTAAAGTTCTAGACCACCATCTTAGGACTTTGGCCAACAGACTTGGTACGATCCACTATAAAGGTATACATTTGTCAGTGACTTACAGTGCCTTGCGAAAGTATTCGGCCCCCTTGAACCTTTCAAAATTTCGCCACATTTCTGGCTTCAAACATATTTTTTGGACAAGAATCAAGTGGGACAAAATTTATTGGATAATTTAAACTGTTTTAAATAAACTGAAAAGTGGGGCGTGTAATATTATTCGGCCCTCTTGCGCTAATACTTTGTAGCACCACCTTTTGCTGCAATTACAGCTGCAAGTCGCTTGGGGTATGTATCAGTTTTGCACATCGAGAGACGAATTCTTTCCCATTCTTCCTTGCAAAACAGCTCGAGCTCAGTGAGGTTGGATGGAGAGCGTTTGTGAACAGCAGTCTTCAGCTCTTTCCACAGATTCTCGATTGGATTCAGGTCTGGACTTTGACTTGGCCATTCTAACACCTGGATACGTCTATTTGTGAACCATTCCATTGTAGATTTGGCTTTATGTTTTGGATCATTGTCCTGTTGGAAGATAAATCTCCGTCCCAGTCTCAGGTCTCTTGCAGACTCCAACAGGTTTTCTTCCAGAATGTTCCTGTATTTGGCTCCATCCATCTTCCCATCAATTTTAGCCATCTTCCCTGTCCCTGTTGAAGAAAAGCAGGCCCAAAGCATGATGCTGCCACCACCATGTTTGACAGTGGGGATGGTGTGTTCAGGGTGATGAGCTGTGTTGCTTTTACGCCAAACATATCGTTTTGCATTGTGGCCAAAAAGTTCGAGTTTGGTTTCATCTGACCAGAGCACCTTCTTCCACATGTTTGGTGTGTCTCCCAGGTGGCTTGTGGCGAACTTTAAACGAGACTTTTTATGGATATCTTTGAGAAATGGCTTTCTTATTGCCACTCTTCCATAAAGGCCAGATTTGAGCAGTGCATGACTGATTGTTGTCCTGTGGACAGACTCTCCCACCTCAGCTGGAGTTATCTGCAGTTCATCCAGAGTGATCATGGGCCTCTTGACTGCATCTCTGATCAGTCTTCTCCTTGTTTGAGATGAAAGTTTGGAGGGACGGCCGGGTCTTGGTAGATTTGCAGTGGTCTGATACTCCTTCCATTTCAATATAATTGCTTGCACAGTGCTCCTTGAGATGTTTAAAGCTTGGGAAATCTTTTTGTATCAAAATCCGGCTTTAAACTTCTCCACAACAGTGTCTCGGACCTGCCTGGTGTGTTCCTTTGTCTTCATGGTTCTCTCTGCGCTTTAAACAGAACCCTGAGACTATCAAAGAGCAGGTGCATTTATACGGAGACTTGATTACACACAGGTACATTCTATTTATCATCATCAGTCATTTAGGACAACATTGGATCATTCAAAGATCCTCACTGAACTTCTGGAGTGAGTTTGCTGCACTGAAAGTAAAGGGGCCGAATAATATTGCACACCACACTTTTCAGTTTTTTATTTGTTAAAAAAGTTTAAATTATCCAATAATTTTTGTCCCACTTCACGATTGTGTCCCACTTTCATGACAAAACATTAAAATGTATCAATCTTTATGTTTGAAGTCTGAAATGTGGCGAAATGTTGAAAGGTTCAAGGGGGGCGAATACTTTCGCAAGGCACTGTAAATACAAGCCCTTACAACCAAGTATTTCAGTCAGTGGATAAACCCTGTATAAGTTGTAAATGTGTTTTGGGGCTAAGCCTATTTTAATCTGCATATTGTGTGGCACTGTAGGGAAAACCAGGGACAGGAGTTTTAGCACTAGCTATACACTGTCACATCAACTGCATCTTTCCTAATATAACTGACTGCATTGTCCCTGTCAAATAAATACAAAAATAAAAAGTGTTAAAGTTGAAATAATGTTCTCCACAACAGGCTTTGAGCTTAAAAAGAATAATCTTTTATTTAACAAATGTACAACAGAAACATGACTTGCTCAATTCAAACCAAACGTTATCCACCATCACAGACAAACATCCAAAACCCTCTACAGTCGCTCTACAGTCGCTCTACGTCACATGACACGGCAGATCTAAGCACCAAACATTCAGCTACGTCCGACTCGTCAAAACTGCCACGAGACGCTGCAAAAACTCACTACACGAACTTAAAATCTGCTTTTATATGGACTTGTGACAATCTTAATGTGGAGTCAGCAAATTGGGAAAGACCATGTAGCATTTTGTTTGAAGAATGGAGACTAAGACAAGTTATTTCTTATGTGAAATGAGAAAAAACTGCTAATAATAATAATAAGACTTTGCTGCTTGTTCCATTGACAAATCTTGTACTAATTTCAAGATACATTTTGGCCCGATTAAAGCAAATACAAAATAATTTTTGCAGCGTGGAAATGTATATTGATGGATTGCAATTTTCCATGTCCAGTTTCTGCCTCTGGTCCAAACCCACTGCTGGGACAAACATACATTTAACTTATAAGAAGGAGATCCAAATTATGTTATTGCAAAACCAAGAACCTCTAAAGCATAGCATGGTCAGTACTGTGATGGGAGACCTCTGGGAACACCAGGTGCCACAGTGGGACGGCTACGGCTAACTGTGTGGAACTGTTGTTGTGTCCTCAGGCAAGACACTTCAGCCACTTTGCCTATAGGGCGAGTCTAGCTTCTGTCAGTGTGTCCCAGGGCAGCTGCGGCTACATTAGCAGTCCATCGCAATTGTGTCTGAAGTGAATGAATAGTGTCTTTGAGAATCCAGAAAGCGCTACATAAAACCAATGCATTATTATTAAAACTTAAAAAAAAGGTATATAAAAAGGAGGATTTTAGGAAAGAACGGCCCTCTCCACTTAAAAAACAAAACAAAAAACTCTGGTCTTATTTGTCGAGCACGTATCACCAGAATGATTGACAACTGGGAGGACCAATAGTCTTGATGATCCACCCGGTAGTAGAAAATCCTGCTATGTACCTTTAAGAGAAGCTGAAGACAAATTGAATCATTGAAATTTCACTGTTCTTTTCTTTGTGCGCGTTCACAACATTGTTCCCTCATCAAAGACACACCCGGAGTCGTTTTTCGCTACATCCATCCCCAATCATCAGTAATCTAAAAGGGCGATACGTTTACAACCCCTCCAGATTCAATAAATACGACTTAAAATATGATAATGCGAATGTATTGGAAGAGGTGATCCCTGTGGTCTGGAAACGCACGATAAAAACATCCTCCACTTCCTTCACGAGTCGACTTCTATACGATTGCTGGTGAATACGTTGTTTTTATACTTTAGTTTGAAGCAGAAATATGATGTTATCTACAGTCTTGGCTGGTGAAAATAAAGTTTGGATTTGGCCTTAGACTTGTACAAAAGGATAGTGCTTTTTGTTACATCAGATCAGTAAATTTCCATCACATTCTGACTTATTTTTAAAGCCAAGTTGATCGTCGAACGTTTTCTGTGTCAAATTAAAACTCAACCAATGTGTTTACAAACTTTGACAAGACTTCCTGTTGGCACAAACGTGGATTTTGACGGAGGAACAATGTAAGTAGACCAAGTTGAGTTGCCAGATCCTTGGATTAAACGAGAAAAAAAAACGCTTTAAGCTTCTTGTATTTGACAAAACACAGAAAACGTGTCATAATTATTGCTTTACAAAATATTACTTCCATTTTAAAGATTCCCGTGAGCGTTGTCCACCTCTGTGTCCTGTTATGACCTGGTTTGAAAGTTTGGACTGAAAAAGAAACGCCACAATCTCTCACGTTTAAAAGCCTTTTCGTCAAATTTACTAAACACGGAGAGGCAGCGTTTCAGATTGATGCAGCTATAATGTGGAACAGTCTTCCTAAAAATGTGAAACAGGCTTCTACTCTATGTTCAAACCCCGGTTAAAAAAACAGTAGGATTGTATCTTTACTCTTTTTAATGTACTGTGATTATTTATTAATTATTATTATTATTTATTCCCTCGTGTATGAACTGTGTTATACAAATAAACTTGCACATTTGCCAACAATTGGAATCATTTGGCTCCATAATATGCAACGCCTTTTTCCTGATTTTAAACATTTCGACATTGATCTGATGTAGCAGCTCAGTCTGGACTGGTCTCCACACTGCCCCCTACAGGCCCAGCTGACTCCATGCAGCGCACTGGGGGAAAAAAAAAAAGTCCAAAAAAAAAAAAAAACCCTCCAGAACTCTACTTCTTCATTTTCATATCCGCTTCCATGGCACTGCGGCGCCCCCGTGTGCCCCCATCCTGCAACGACAGAAACAAAAAAACGGGGTTGAGGAGAGAAAGCTGAAGTTGGGGTGGACAAAGTCTTGAGGGGTGGACGTCTCAGAGCTCGGTTGGCAAATGAGGAAACCAAAAAATATGATTAACCGATAAGTAAACTGGGTTAAAACGTGCAACAATCACAACACGGAAAGCACAAAATAATAAAAAGTGCAGTAAACACGAGTGGTCGGCAACAGAGGTTCCTGATTTTGACGCCACGAATGAGACAAAGACACAAAAACGTACAACATAAGGTGAGCTTCTACACACATGTGGCCGAGAGGCGGGTACGACTTAGGGCATTTTTGCTCGTTATTATCCCAGGAAAATGGACAAAAGTGATCTCAGCTCTTTAAAATCGTAATACCGTAATTTCCGGACTATAACCAGCTACTTTTTTTCTTGCTCTTTCCACCCTGCGGCTTATATAGCGATGCGGCTAATATTTTTGTATTGCGGTAGAGAGGGTAAGTATTTTGACTCCATAAAGTTTTAGTAGCTTTAGGAGGCACCTTTATTGTCAAAATAGACTGGTGAATGAGTACCGACATGGAAGCTAACGGTGAAGCGGTCATTAAATCATGTTGTGACCAGTTTAAACAGTCCTGAGGCTTATATTCAAGCGTGGCCTATATGTGACCAAAATATATTTTCTTTTAAAAATGTTGCTGGTGCGGCTTACATACAGGTGCGCCTAATAGTCCAGAAAGTACAGATGTAGTTATGAGCTGTGACATTTGTCCACTGCTCACACAATACGGTATAAATAGGGACAATATCAATCTTTAGTCATACTATTGTGATGAGAAAATGCATTGTAATTCTTCGTCTGTTTGGTTCCGTAGCCCCAATTGTCGTTCGGCCACAGCGAGAACAGCCGCAACATGGTGCAAAGCAAGGCCACCTTTTGTTCATTTTTGTGGTTGTTGGTTGTTGAAATGGAGATAAAGTAAAAAGATGGGAGGCTCAGATGGTGCTGGACGGAGCGGTCTGCGGAGACTGGAGCCTGGATACTTACAAAGAGAGAGAGAAGGAAAGCAGGAGAGGCCATTGGAACAGAGTCCTGAGACAAAACAGTGAGACAGGAGAGAGAAGGAGGTTACACAGGGCTCAAGGAGGGCTCTGAGGGGGGAGGGAGGGAGAGAGGGAGGGAGGGAGCAGTGGAACCACCTCTGTGTGAAGGAAAGGACAGAGGGAGAGAAACCGGTGCTAAAACCTGTCTCTGTGCAAAAACCAAACATTGCAGACCCATAAGGAATCAGATTCAAAATTTGGACCCTAAAAGTTTTATAACCACTGGAACTTGTGTCAGACGAGATGGTACCAGCGTCTAACACAGCGTTTCGCAAATGGGGGTATGCGAACCCTTAGGGGTAATTGATGGTATTACAGGGAGTACTTGGAATGATTTTCTAAATTTGCAAACAAGAGATTGTGAGAGGTAAAAATAGTCTACAGCGGCACGTTATGCATCACGTAAAAGCTAATTTTACCAAGATAATAACCATATAATTTATTGTATTCTAAAACACAAAACAGATATCATGAATAATAATTGTTCAAACAGTCTGCAATAACAAGCCTTTCATGTTTCTGGTCCCATTTTGATTGTAAATTTCTTCATTGTGAGAATAATAAAGTTGATCTTATATTAATTTATCTTATTCTGTCCAAATTAGTTCAGAAATATACAGTCAGGTTAAATAAAAGCAAAGAAAATGTATAAAAATAATCAGATGTTTAAGACGAGTTAAAAAACTTTCCACAAAGAAAATAATGGGGGCCGTGGTATAACAGTAAGTAAGTATTCTTTTTTTATATACCGCCTTTCACAGACCAGAGTCACAAAGCGGTTTACAATTGTTATATATATGTTAGTATTAGATAGCAATGTGGCCTACGTGCAGGACTGTACAAGGACTCTGATGGACTCCATGTTTTGACTATGATGTGACTGTCTCTGTGTGACACGTATGTCTTTCGATGTGTGACGTGACAATGACTATATAAACTGTGTACTGCCTTTATTCTGTCTGAGGGAAAGAAACAATGGAAACCAGTGGAACTTGAGAGAAACTTAAATAAACTTCCAGAGTTTGGCGCACCACGATCCGTCTCTGTCTGCCTCATCCCTGACAGATTTGGTGGAGGATGTGCGGCTCAGTGTGCGCCATTCTCTGGATTGTTTTGAGGGAGTTTCCTTTGTTTCTTTTCCTCTGCGTGAGAGATCGGCATGCTGTGTCTGGGAGCGGAGATTCCAGCAGGCTGGAAGAGCTGTTCCTGGATGCTTCTTGTCGCTTCTGTCACTTTTGTTTTTTAAATTGAATTTTCCGACGCGGAAAAGAGGTTGGCAGACCTCTCGGACAGTCCTTGGTACCTGTTTGACAAGAATAAGGTAAGCAGACACCTTTTTATATGTAAAGTCTGTATAATTGGATACTAGCAAAATTTTGGTCTGTTTTTGGGGTCTGTCAAACTCTCTAAATTGTATTTGAAAAAAGTCTTGGGGTTAAAGTCCCTTTGAGAAAAGATAGAGAAGAAGGATCCTTAGTGAAACCATGGTGTAAAAGCAATTTAATAAAAAGGGAAATGTGAAAAAGAGGCCTTTGTTACAAAAGCTTTGAAATTGACGAATTCCAGGCTGATAAATGACAAAAGTACATAAGCAACAATATGTTACATTCAGTGATCACGGTTTAAATTACATACAGAAAAAGGGAGTTTGTTTTTTAGTTTGTTTTTTGGCGTGAACAGAGTTCACCGGAGAATGCAGTGTTTTATCTACAGTTGAGCTATGAGAGGGTTGTATCCAACAGTTGTTTAGTTTTTTTTTTTAGAAAGAGATTTTGAGTTTAAACTAGTTCGCGACCTCGAAGAGTAATAGTGCCTTTTGTTACTAGTGTGGAAAGTGATCATTTCTAGACAAAAGTATAAACTACAACATCAGTTATATTCGCTTAAAAAAGTAATCTTGAAAGTTCTTCTTTTTTCTGTTTTTGCATTTTTGCTAAAACACTACTTTCTGCCTGTGTGTGCACATCTCTATCTTGCTGCCGTTGCCCCCCCGCCCTCGCTGCTGCTGCTGCTCTGACTTAAAGGAGAGCTACTGCGTTTAGGATTTTGGCTTTTCATAGTTATTCCGTTAAATTTGCGAAATTTGCGATGGAACATTGTGTTATGACACAGTTAAACGTTTTAAACACCATTTAGTAAAAAGAAGTTTGGAATATTATGTTTTTTGAAACCCAAAGATTAGTACAAAAAAGCTTTGCTTTTCTCTTTAAATCTGCTGCTTATTTTTTGAGTCCATTATTGTATTTCTGATATATTTCATAGCTGTTTGTGAGAAATTTCTTTCATGTATTTTTTATTTTAGTTACAAAAGCCGTTTTTCAAACATTTAAATTAGAATCTGTGTTAAGTGATTATTGATCATAGACTTCGTCTAAAAAGAAAGAGGGAATTAGGATTAGCTGTAAAAGTATTATATTAAGTTGAACTCTACCCAATTCACCCAATTCACATTGTTTTGACTATGCACCTGACCTTGCTCCTGCTGCTGATGCACACAGCAGAGGAGCCTGATCTGAAATGTGCTCCAATTCATATAATTGATAATTATTAATTTAATGCATACATTTTTTGTTTTTTAAAGGTTTTTTTAAAGTTTTTTTTTTCCACTTTATTGATTGATCAAATTGAGTGATCACATGTGATTATGTGATCAAAGGGGTGAGTGTTAGTATTAGATAGCAATGTGGCCTACGTGCAGGACTGTACAAGGACTCTGAAGATGACTCCATGTTTTGACTATGATGTGACTGTCTCTGTGTGACACGTACGTCTTTCGATGTGTGACGTGACAATGACTATATAAACTGTGTACTGCCTTTATTCAGTACACATTCAAGAAACAATGGAAACCACTGGAACTTGAGAGAAACTTAAATAAACTTCCAGAGTTTGGCGCACCACGATCCGTCTCTGTCTGCTTCATCCCTGACATATATATTTTTAAAACAACCAATTTCTTTCCCCGTAGCAACAGGAGGTACTTGTGCTGATAAGCTTGATAACGCTGGCCTAACAAACACCGCGGTTCTCAAACCTGTTGAATCCGTAAAAATCTTGCTTATAGTTTCGGTCTGGTTGTAATCGTAATCTGATATTGACATCATGGCATTTTCTCAGCCAGAACTTTAAAAGAACAACAAAAAAAAGAACTGCTTCCAGACACAAAGTTACAACAAAGAGATTAAACTTTCACTTTGTCCAGTGTGAGGAGCAGGATGCGAGTCAGATGAGGTCAGAGCTGCGTCTCATGACTCAGGGTTTGCCTCGAGTGCGGCCCTGTCACGTGGAACTCACTATTCTTATGTAAAACAGTCATCGCTGTGAGAATACAGACCACACTTTTGTTTGTGTGACACTACTAAGCTCAGGGTGTTCAGTGAAGATTCCATGTATTAATGTCACTTTATCTGCTCATCCAGCCTTTATGTGTATATAACTTAGCACTATATAGAGAGGGTTTCGAAAGATTGATATGAAGCGTTTACAGCTAGCTAAGAAACATAGCAGCTACTTGTATTGTATAGTTTGTGTGCTCCCTGTGTGCTCTGTGTGTGCGCTGCAACATTGACATTTCCCCACTGTGGGACAAATAAAGGGTCTATAATCTGATCTTACATGTACAGTAGGTCAAACCTTCCACCTCCGGTGGTGACCAAGCTCGTCAAAGGATTCAGAATTTAAGACATGAACCTGAATTATTATGAATTCTAAATGTAGGGGGTTAAACTGTTTTATGGTATACTGTACAGGTGAGGTCTCTGTTTTGCCAAAGTTATTATTAAGACTTTTATTGTGACTGCAAAGTAGTAGTATAAAAGTAGCTCTCTAAATGAAAAAGGTTGGGGATCCCTGCTCTAAGGGGATACATGAAAGTGCTTAACCTTAATTGAGTTAAATAAAAATGTAAAACACTCACTTAAGTTAATCTGCTTTTTACCGTGTTTTATAAAGTCTACAACACTCCTCCGTCCTCTCCTCCGTCTGAACAGTTGTTGACACTAATGACACGCCTTCATTTCCTGCATTATATTCCTGCTGATGGTAAACACAACAGACTTCACCTGGTGTTTGTGGCTCCCATTATTCCCACCTGGAGAGGATCCCCACAGGGCCCTCATGATTGTACGGAGGTCACTCCTTTTGCTTCTCTTATGTACAGATTAGTTCATAGACATGTGGGGAAAATGTAAATGCATATAAAGCTAGGGGCATGAAGAAATTGTGCTGAGCGGAAGTGTGTACTTTATCACAATAATGAAATTGAATGAGTAAGTAATGTTTATTTATATAGCGCATTTTACAGACCAAGGTCAACCAAAGCTCTTTACAATGTTCAGAGTCAGATACTGTTCCAATCATTCCACACACGATGATGACGAAAGCGAGTCGGCGAACACACAGGACCATCAGCTCCAATCAACACCATCCATTCACTCTCTCATTTACATTCATACCTATCGTTCATGTTTTTAGTGGTAGGGGAAACCGGAACACCCGGAGGAAACCTACCTACCTACAAACCCAGGACCTTCTTGCTGAGAGGCGAGAGTGCTATCCACTCAGCCACCGTGCTGCGTCCAAATATATATATTTATATGTATACATACATTTCTATAATGTGAGCATGGATTTCCCCTGTGCTCTTAAATACATCTGATAGCTGTGTCTCAGTAGTATCTAGTTTACATAAATGTCAGCGAACACGGAGGAGAAATAGTTTGATCAATTGGATTTACACGCTTCTTACTCAATCAAATTAAATTGGACAAGTGATCTGGTTTCCTAAGTACGGACATTGAAAATTAGCGTTGGCTATAAATGTTGAAGTGTTTCACATGTTGATTGTGTGCAATGGTCCGTATCAAATAAATAAATGAATATTAAAAAAAATAGAATACATTTTCATGGGAGAACCTCTGATGGCAACATTATATCAGCTGTTGGAGGCAGGACCTAATTTATAAATGTTTCTCTCATGCATCCCTCACCTTCTCCGGGGGCTCTCCTGGCTTCCTCACGCCCTCCCGCCCCCTCAGGCTCTTGGCGGAGATGGCGCTCTCGGACGTCTGCATGATGAGCTGCGTGGCCAGGAACTGCTGCACGTGCTCCAGGACGTCGCGCTGCATCTCCAGAGCCATGTGGAACACGTCGTGGTCCGAGGAGTTGTACATGACGGCGTTCTGGAACATCAGCATAATGTCGCGCTGGAACTCCGCCGTGGTCCGGATCACCCCCGACTCGATGTTCTTCTTTATGGCAGAGAGGTCCATGGGCCTGAAGGGACCGAGAGGAGCGGGGGGAGTGTTAAAGAGGGTAAAAAGTATCACCATCGGTAATGTCTGGAGTAATCACATGTAGGAGGTGAAATTCGGAAAAGTCGAATATTGTTCAAAAGTTCATTTTTTTCTGGAATTCATATAAAAACTGAACTATTTTATGATATAGACTCATTAAATGCATTAGAAACATATTTTTTTGTTATAATTTTGACAATCTTGGCTTTCAGTCCATTTTCTAGATTGTATTTTTTTATTTGGGTTTTTTCAGCTGAGACATTTATCAACATTAGAAGAAAAAAAAAAGATTGTTATATTAAACTGAATGATTGTATCTTCACTCTTTTTAGTGTTCTATGATTATTTATGATTTAATGCCCTGTTATATTTAGAGTTGCCTTAAGTATGAACAGTGCAATACAAATAAACTAGATCTCACTTTCTGTGTAATGAGTGTTTTCAGTTTCACATTGTAAGTTGAATTATAGTAAAGTACATGAGATCTCGCAGGATGGAGTTCTCACTGAAGAATATTCTCACAACGATTTGTTTCCTTTTTTGTCTTTACATTTTGAAATGTCACCATCAACAAACACCTCTAGCACCTAATTCAAAACAAAACTAAATGTGTGGTAAAATATTAAAATCCAACACATCTTTACAATACTCACCAAACCAAACAAGGCACAAAGTTCAAAATACCAAAATAAGTACATTAAAGTCTAAATGAGCTACAGCAGTGGTGTCAAACTCACTTTGGTCCCGGTGTTCTGTCGAGTTGGTCTGCCCGTCGAGATGATCTGGCTCAGCTGTTACTGATGTAATGCAAACCTGCCCATGCGCGTCTCACGGCAGCCAAAGCAATCCAAGATGGCGGACATGTAGTCCGCGAATTGTTTTGAAAGTTAAATACAAACGAGTTAAGACACGAATGTCACTTTTAATGCAATTTGAGGCGAGATGTTGATGGTTCCACGTTCTGATATGTGTGTTTTAAGAGTAAGAGTTTTGTGTAAAGTTTGTTTTAAGCAGTACACTGCTCCTGTGAAACTACACTGCTCCTGTGTGATCGCTGTCCGAGTTGACCGCTGCATACGTCAGGCCCATGATGTGTCCTGTGACTGGTCTGTCGGGTTGATAATGGAAATAATAAATTAAATTTTATGCATGTATCATACTGTATTCAATACGATTAACAATAGTGTGTTCAAACAAAATATTTAATTAGATTTGAGTTTTATCCCCATTCTGGCGGGTTTTGCGCATGCGCATGTCAGATTTGGGCACACTAGCAGTGTAGTTTCACAGGATCGGTGGACTGCTTAAAGCTGCACTAACTGACTTTGGGATTTTGAAGCTGCAGACTCGCTGGCCTCTCTCTTTCTGCTCCCCTCCCCGCACCCACGAAGCTATTGCCCCCCACACACACCCACTGTTGGGACGGAGTTAGCGTCTCCCAATATGGATAATACACGAATATGGATTTGTACGTGGATGGCGTGACCATAGAACGATAGAACCGGGAAGCGCGGAGGAACAAGACTTTCTTTTGGATGGCTGTCTCGCTGTGTAAGCAGTAACCGGTGACGAAGACACAAAGCTTCAGGTTAGCTCCTCGGCTTGTTGTGCTAACTCAGCCGTCTATGCTAACGGACCTGTAGATTTCTCACAAAAGTGGGGGCTAGTGGTCCGCTGTGATTGGTCACAATCTGCGACCCGAAACACATTCTCTTCCTTGTTTCATCAAAACTCGATCTAAAATATAATGTTACGCCAGCACAAATCTGCACTACTTTTTCTTCAAAAGGACGTATATCCCAATGCCCTACACGGACATGGATAGCATTTTCGTAATGAATACAAAATTAAAGCTGCACTAACTAACTTTATTTTTGTATTCATTACGAAAATGCTATTGTAATCGTCTTAATTCGTTCATATTTAACTTTTAAAGCAATTCGCGGACTACATGTCCGCCATCTTGGTTTGCTTCGGCTGCCGTGAGACGCACAGCGCTGGTTTGCATTACATCATTAACAGCTGAGCCAGATCATCTCGACAGAACACCGGGCCATGTTTAAAAACATAAGAGCTGGTTTGGGCCAAAAGTATAAAAGTTATTCACTTTTTTGTTTTTTTTGTTTGACATTTGTTTTGATATTATTTTCTTGTCGGTTTGGATTCAATCACAACTGGGCCAAATATGTGAAAAAAAAAAAAAAAATATATATATATATATATACAGTGCCTTGCGAAAGTATTCGGCCCCCTTGAACCTTTCAACATTTTGCCACATTTCAGTCTTCAAACATAAAGATATAAAATTTAAATGTTTTGTCATGAATCAACAACAAGTGGGACACAACCGTGAAGTGGAATGAAATTTATTGGATAATTTAAACTTTTTTAACAAATAAAAAACTGAAAAGTGTGGCGTGCAATATTATTCGGCCCCTTTACTTTCAGTGCAGCAAACTCAGTCCAGAAGTTCAGTGAGGATCTTTGAATGATCCAATGTTGTCCTAAATGACTGATGATGATAAATAGAATGCACCTGTGTGTAATCAAGTCTCCGTATAAATGCACCTGCTCTTTGATAGTCTCAGGGTTCTGTTTAAAGCGCAGAGAGAACCATGAAGACAAAGGAACACACCAGGCAGGTCCGAGATACTGTTGTGGAGAAGTTTTAAGCCGGATTTGGATACAAAAAGATTTCCCAAGCTTTAAACATCTCAAGGAGCACTGTGCAAGCAATTATATTGAAATGGAAGGAGTATCAGACCACTGCAAATCTACCAAGACCCGGCCGTCCCTCCAAACTTTCATCTCAAACAAGGAGAAGACTGATCAGAGATGCAGCCAAGAGGCCCATGATCACTCTGGATGAACTGCAGATAACTACAGCTGAGGTGGGAGAATCTGTCCATGGGACAACAATCAGTCGTGCACTGCTCAAATCTGGCCTTTATGGAAGAGTGGCAAGAAGAAAGCCATTTCTCAAAGATATCCATAAAAAGTCTCGTTTAAAGTTTGCCACAAGCCACCTGGGAGACACATCAAACATGTGGAAGAAGGTGTTCTGGTCAGATGAAACCAAACTCGAACTTTTTGGCCACAATGCAAAACGATATGTTTGGCGTAAAAGCAACACAGCTCATCACCCTGAACACACCATCCCCACCTCAGCTGTAGTTATCTGCAGTTCATCCAGAGTGATCATGGGCCTCTTGGCAGCATCTCTGATCAGTCTTCTCCTTGTTTGAGATGAAAGTTTGGAGGGACGGCCGGGTCTTGGTAGATTTGCAGTGGTCTGATACTCCTTCCATTTCAATATAATTGCTTGCACAGTGCTCCTTGAGACGTTTAAAGCTTGGGAAATCTTTTTGTATCAAAATCCGGCTTTAAACTTCTCCAACAGTATCTCGGACCTGCCTGGTGTGTTCCTTTGTCTTCATGGTTCTCTCTGCGCTTTAAACAGAACCCTGAGACTATCAAAGAGCAGGTGCATTTATACGGAGACTTGATTACACACAGGTGCATTCTATTTATCATCATCAGTCATTTAGGACAACATTGGATCATTCAAAGATCCTCACTGAACTTCTGGACTGAGTTTGCTGCACTGAAAGGAAAGGGGCCGAATAATATTGCACGCCCCACTTTTCAGTTTTTTATTTGTTAAAAAAGTTTAAATTATCCAACAAATTTCGTTCCACTTCACAATTGTGTCCCACTTGTTGATTCATGACAAAAAAATAAAATTGTATATCTTTATGTTTGAAGCCTGAAATATGGCGAAATGTTGAAAGGTTCAAGGGGGCCGAATCAGGGCTGGACTGGCCATCGGGCGTACCGGGCAATGCCCGAAGGGCCGATGTCCATATTTGGGCCGGTCTGTTTGCCTCATACAAAAAAAATGTTTGTGAAAAGTGTAAATCCGTTGAGAAATGTTTGAGGGGGCGCGCGTGTCCGCGGGGCACCTGCTGTATGTACTCGAACGGGATTCCACCACCTCAGTGGCCGCAGTGTTCCCGCATCCAGCGGCTCTGAGCTGGACGCGGGAACACTGCGCGGTGAGCGCGTAGCCGCAACGTGACCATATACCCAAGACGCGCACAGGACCATGCGTGTCTTCGCGTAATTTGTGCACCCAATAAATACACCGCTGCAGGAAACAGTCTGCGTCTCCCCTCTCCTCTCGAAATTAAAGCTCGGGTACCTAAATTTTCCATTGCATTAAAAGTTCATGTTTGAGCCCAAAAGTAAAATTAAACAGATTTAGAGCCAGCTAATGACTGACAATATGCATTTCAGACATTTTTGACCAATTCTCATCCCTGTAACAAATGATAGTGTTGTCTGTGTCCACCTCCCTCACTCTGAGACATGTTTATTACTCTGTTTAATGTAGACTATTGTACTTTATTTTATTGTTGAAACTGTAGACATCCTGATCCTCTACAGTATTTGCTTCCACATACTGTATAAACCAGGGGTCGGCAACCTTTAGTGCTCCTCCAGTGGCTCCTGGAGCCTTTTCAAAAATGTCTAAAAATGGAGTGTGAGGGCTCTATTTTATTTCTAGTTTGAATGTGTTTTTTTTAGGAGGAAAAACATACTTAAGGTTTTTAAATGCTGTAAAAATGTGTATAAGTAATATTCAATTTCAACATTTCTGTCAACGTAGTGCGTAATATCCGGTGACGCGGCCCGCGCCAGGCGGCTGCTGTGGTAAACAAACCGGCGTGTGCGTATGGATCCCAAAGATAAAGAGAGAAAGAGTCGATAAGACTGGACTAAGAATGAGAATGAACATTTGCTTTCTGCAGATGAGGAAGGACTGCTTCATGTTTAATGAAAAGTTTTGTTGCAACACGGGGAACAATGAAGCTTTAAACACCGTTCACTGAAGGATTCATTCATCATAAAGTCAGAGCACCTATTTTCAGACTTCAAAAACCTCCGCAAAGACGATGAAAGAAAAGGCCATTAAGGACATTCAGCTCCAGCAAACTTCAGCCTGTGACGTGATGGATATGAGCAGACAGTGATGCAGGTGAACTCTGAGCCAAAAAGCAGATTTATTTCCTGTATTTCTACAATTGCATGAAGGCAAAAAAATGGAAGTTAAAGCAGAGTCGTCCGGGACACGCTGCAGTGAAAACACACATTTGATAATCGTGAATGGTTTTTATGTGTTTGTAGCCTTTACTTTGTCATTTAGATATTAAGCTAATATAGCTAATGTAGCTAATGTAGCTAAGGTAGCTAATGGAGCTAATGCAGCTTTAGCCCGTTTGACCTTCATATAAGCTTTATACAAGGCTGGGGTTTTTTTGCGGCTCCAGATAGATGTTGTTTTTAGTTTTTTTGTCAAATATGGCTCTTTGAACCTTTTGAGTTGCCAATCCCTGGTATAAACAAACTGTAAAAAACGTGACAAAAACATGCCTGGGCCGCTAAGAAGGAAAAAATGCCTGGGCCGTTTTTTTGTCCCAGTCCAGCCCTGGGCCGAATACTTTCGCAAGGCACTGTATGTAATTGAAGATTTATAGCTCAAATGTTAAAAATATATATATAATTGGTCTAACTTAACTTATTAATTACATTAAAGGTTTTAGAACAAATTCAATTACAGTTATAGTATTGAAAAAATAAGCTTTAAAGGAATAGTTCACCGTTTTTACATACTGACATATGTTCTTACCTTACCTTAGACTAGTTAATACGTACCTGTGTGATCTTAGTCCGTGCGCTCTGTCATGCAAACGGAGCAAAAACGGGAGGACAAATGCAGCCTCCTCTGTATACTGTATAGTACCAAAAGGTAGCTCCCGCTAGAAGCTACCAAACTCTTCCAAGTGTTCCCTATTAAATGTATATAGTTACGTGACGTGTTACACTGCAAAGTATAGTAACACAGAAATGTAACTGTCGATTTTCTCAGCGGATAAAACGGGTACTATATTGTGAGGCGTAGTAATCTGAGGAGCGCTACGTCCGCGCACTAACTTCTCTCTGTACTACAAGTCACGCTGCTTCTATTGACGGAAGTGAGCGAGAGAGAAGTCTCTGGAGAGAAGTTAGTGCGCGGACGTAGCGCTCCTCAGATTACTACGCCTCACAATATAGTACCCGTTTTATCCGCTGAGAAAATCGACAGTTACATTTCTGTGTTACTATACTTTGCAGTGTAACACGTCACGTAACTATATACATTTAATAGGGAACACTTGGAAGAGTTTGGTAGCTTCTAGCGGGAGCTACCTTTTGGTGCTACACAGTATACAGAGGAGGCTGCATTTGTCCTCCCGTTTTTGCTCCGTTTGCATGACAGAGCGCACGGACTAAGATCACACAGGTACGTATTAACTAGTCTAAGGTAAGGTAAGAACATATGTCAGTATGTAAAAACGGTGAACTATTCCTTTAAAATGAAGTATAACAAGCCACAGTAGCCCATGTTATTCCATCAATGCTGCAAGTTACTGTAATAATGATACTTTAAAATCCTTTCAGGGGCCACTAATAAATTGTCTCGCGGGCTGGATTTAGCCCACGGGCCGAGTTTGACATGTCTGACCAACAGCCTGCTCTGTTTCTGCAAATTAATTCTATGTTTTAATGTTGGTATAAACAATGTCTCACCTGTGGACGATGCTGTGGTATCCAGGAGCGATGTCGTCTGACACCGGCTGCAGGAACACACTGGCGTATCTGAAACCACCGGACCAGTGCTTTGAGAAAGTCGTCAGGCTAAAATCACTTCAAATGTACCTAAATAATTCCGTTTATTATAGATGGAAGTATGAACATTTAAAACTGTGATAAGAAGTGACAAGCCACTGTCACTGATCCAGGCTGATGTTCAAAGACATGTTTTAGATCAAAGTTAATCTATGTTCATAACAGTCTGCAGGGAAAAGTTTCTCTGTCTGTTATTATGATATGTGTAAAAATAATTATTGTGCAGGTTCGAAGTTAAGAAATAATAATAGAAAAAACCCAGAGTGCCCAGAAAGGCGGCATATAAAAAAAATGTATTAGTATTATTATTATGAGTGATAATGTCTTATATTTTTTCGTTATTCATTAGTGTTTTTTGTCTGTTATGTCTGTGTTTATGTGCACTTTTTGATTAAAACAGTAAATAAAATAAATAAATACAACAAAGTGGTCCTGTTCCCGTGACGCTCTCCTTCACCTGTGATTGGCTGCTGCCCTCCAAACCAGCATTATGGCTTTCTTCCAGATCTTCTGCGCCTGCACGGCCTCCTGGTCCTCGCCGCACGTCGACCTGAAAACCACAGCACAGAAAATCAAAAACTGTAAATAAAGCCACAGATCGAATGACAGGTTTTAGCCCCGGTTTTAGCCCCGGTTTTAGCCCCGGTTTTAGCCCCGGTTTTAGCCCCGGTTTTAGCCCGGGTTTTAGCCCCGGTTTTAGCCCCGGTTTTAGCCCCGGTTTTAGCCCCGGTTTTAGCCCCGGTTTTAGCCCCGGTTTTAGCCCTGGGTGATATTGATATGTAGTAAGTTCAATACAAATCAAGTTTTAAGTTTTTCTTTACCGATGTTTCTTGTGTTTGAACTGTTTGATTCTCTGTGTTGGCGAAGTCGACGGTTTTTGTAAAGTCCTCCAAGATAACTAATGTTGTGATTTAGGGCTGTACAAGAATACCAGTACAAATGATCTCCACATGACTAAAACAATATCTGCTCAATGATATGTGAACGTGCATATTTGAGGCTGTTTGAATAGAATAATAAAAGTACTGCTCTCGCTGCTGTTCTTGTGCCTTTGTGTGTAGCAGATGAAGCGTGCGCTCACAGTTGGGAGGAAGACGCCGGGCTGCTGGCCAGAGAGTCTGCGGTGTATCTCTGAGACGCGGGGCCGTATCCGTCCTCGCTCTCGCTCGCCGCGGGCTCCGCCTCCGACAGGTACGACCCGTCTGCTCCCTCCTCCTTCAGCTCCGAGCCGTCGTCAGGGTCGGCCTCGCTGCACGCCTCCTCCTTCACCTCCTGCACAAACACAGCTTTTACCCCTCCACTCGTGATTGCGTGTCCTATTTGAAAATCGGCCTCTTTTGCTGCATGGTAAAATTATAAATGATACACACAAATTTCAATTCAGCAATTATTTAAACTACATTCCCAATATTGCTGTATGTATATAATGTTTAGTTTGAGAAGTATGTTCACTGTATGTAGGCTTGGCTGAACTTTCAGTCTCTAGGTGTGAGTCAAAACCCCCTTTTGAGGCATGACTCTACAAGATTTGCACATGTAGAGACTGAAAGTTCCACAAAGTATGAACTCATGTTGTAAGAATACTTGTGCATGCCTGACTTTTAATATTTCTATACAAAATAACAGAATCATGTATCATTTTACTTTCACTTCAGAGTTGTCTGTTACAAAAATTCTAAATAAAATATGTATGGTTGTAAACATGATCAGTATCAGTACTTTTCGAGTGGCACCATTTTGAAACTAAAGAAGAGGATTTCAGGATTACATAATGCGACATTGCCAAAACCATTTTACAACACCTCTTACTCTAACTGCACTTTTTTACAGCTATACTTCTGGATAAACGTAGTGAGAATTACCTTGGACTCTCTTCCCGACACGGAGCTGTCTTCAGAATCTACAGACAGAAACAAGCGTCAACCCCCCACAGTCTGTAGTAACTCTGCTTTTACCCGTTTAATCCCACAGACCTAGACACGGCGGATTGGACTCCGCGTGGCTCCACTCCTCGGCCTCAGTCTTCACCTCCGTCACCTCCGTCGCTCCTGCTCCCCCCTCCTCCTCCCTGACCTTCGCCTCCATCAGTGCGTGTTCGTCACCTCCGCTCTCCTCTGCTCCTTCCACGTCCTTCTGCTCTTCTGCTTTGGTCTCAGGCGGAGCAGCGGAGTCGTCTGCGGTGAGGGGGTTGGATGTCGGGCCGTCGAGGTGGTCCTGGTTGGGGTCTTGGATCGTGGTGGGGGTCTCGTCTGTGGGCTGCGGGTCCCAGGGTCCCGGCAGAGCGTGGGCGTCTTCGCACAGAGACAGAGCGGCTTCTACTGCAGCGGCATCCAGCGCCTCCACAGAGTCATCCACCTGCAGGGAACACCACATGTAAGAATACTATGACACTAAAACCATCATTTAGCGACTATAGTGTAGACGGGTGGGGAAAAAACTTGATTCTGTTCATTTCATCTTCACCCCCATTGCATTCTCAGAGCACGAGCCCCTCACTTGTTGTAATGCTTTTGAATAATTTGAGGGACATCACAGAATTGTATCGCAATATAAAGAATCACAGTGATATTGAATTGTGGCCCAAATATCTCAATACAATCAAATCGTCACATTTTTACCAATTCCCACCCCTAGTGTATTGCAGTGCTTTGCAAAGAGAAAGGCTTTGCCCTCAGAAAGGCTACTAGTATTCATGTTAGAGCATTTTGATTCAATCCAATAAAGGAAAAGTGTGAATTGTAAAGATGCTCTCATGTCAAAGGTGTAAAACATCCTGTATTCACTGAGCTTTCTGGATCCAAACAAATCGTTTCATCAAAATATGTTTTCATGACACTTCAGAACGCACACAAAATGAGCGGGAAAGTTAAACCTGTTCACCTTCTCCTCGATGATGGCGATGATGTCTCCCACCGTCTCCAGGTCCAGTTCGTCTCCCATGTACGACACGGCCACCAGGTCGTCCTCGCCCAGCGCCTCCCCCAGCTCCGCCTTCACCTCCGCATCTGCACCACACACAACACACACACACACACACACAAACACCAGCCTTGAGCTTCATATGTAAATTGTGGTTCTGTGATTATTACGTTTTATCTGTGGATGATTTTAATGTTTCCGTTCTTGTTTTATAAAGTGCTTTGAGATGCCTTCTGTATGAACTGTGCTATACTAATGAACCTCTACCTCCCTGCTTATTATAAAGAACACACAATGCATTTTTACCGTTGAGCAAAAAACATGTATATTTTTAATGAGGGAACAAAGTAAAGCATTTCACAATATTACAGTTATATATTCAATGAATCAACCCTGGCCTTCAAATTCCAACAATTAAAAGGTTCTTTATTTTGTAATTACTTGTTTGGGTCTATGAGCAGATTCCATTTTTGAATCTAGTCCAAGTTTTGGAGGTTCAAAATACAATAACAATAAAGCGGCTATGTCATAATGAGCCATTGAGGTTTTGGCACTTATTATGTCACAGGCTAATATTATAATGTCACCATAAACTTTGTGGCTTTTTAAATGTCTCCATTGCCACAGATTGCGCCCACAGTGATGTGCAAGAGAAGGTGGAAGCACTGGAGAAATAACAGTAGGATGTGTTTATGTGGAGCAGACCTGTCATGACGTCATGCGCTGACGGCAAAACTGCGGCCGTTTGAACTCCGTTTGAGAGGTTTCCTGAGAGATCACCTTCTGAAACCTGGAGGGGAAAAAAAAAGAAATAATATAATTCACTTTGTTTCATTCAAGTGTTTTTGTTTTGTTTCAGTGTTTTAATTTTCCTGGTCAGAGGGAGAGTCTTCTAAAAGGAAAATCAGACCAGAACCTGCTGCGGTCTGACTTGTTTCTATCTGATTCTAAGATACAAAAAACAGTGATAGAACCAGACTGAGAGCGAGGAACAAATTACATGGATTTTTATGGATGACATAGTTCCACATATTGGTTTGAATAGTTATAGCTTTAATAGTTATTGTGATATATTATTATTATTATTATTTGAATCCATTGCATTATTTGTCCAATCTAAGAGTGTTATACTGGACACTTCAGGACAGTGTGGGTCTCACCAGGCGGGGGCTGGCAGAGATGAGGTTTCCCTTCTTGAGCAGCTCTGAGAGCAGAGGAGACGGAGGAGGAGTGGCCTTCTGAGCCAGGAGCCTCTTCTGTGGAGAGTCGTCCATCAGAGCAGCTAGAGCAGCTTCTTTAGATCCAGAAGGGTCCACGGGCATGAAAGCTGCAACACCCTGCACCTGAGCCAGACAATCAGACGAGTTATGGAGCCATGGGATTTAAACTCTAAACACACACCTTCCCCATATACCAAAATCTGCCATCATTGACAAATTATTTTTAACTTCTCTAATTTTATTTTTTTGTAGTTTAACATATATCATCAACCAGAAGTCCCACCTACAGTTGCTAACATGACGTCTGAATGCATAACTCATTGTGGTACTTACAACATTATGGAGTGCGGGGCCCTCAGGCGGGGGCCCTCCTGTGTCCATGGGCAGAGAGGAGGCGGAGGACTCGGCCTGAGAGTCCAGGGAGGTGGGACTGGCTCCCAAAGGGGATCGCACTGTGACACTGGGAAGGCGCTTGGGCGTATTTTTAATGGCCTGGCGAGCTGTGAACACACAATGGAGTAGGAATATAAGTGTGTTTTCCTCACCGTGCGACGAATAAAGAAATATCTAATCTTATGTGTTTCATACTTTTGACTACATACCTAAAAAGGATATATGATTTTGTGTATACCTTGGTAGGCCATTTCGGTGGCTTTTCTCTTCTGCTCTGCTTCTTCCTCATCCTGCTTCTTCTTTCTACGGGACAGAAGTGATTTTCTCATTTATTACAAGGTTAAAAGTTATGTAAAGATGTAAGTAACTTGTTTTTACAGTGTAATTTCTGTTAGCAGCTCCTTCAGTTGCGAGTCCATATGACCAGCCTGTATCAGGTCCGCCTCCTTCTTCAACTTCCTGTTAAATACGAATATTTATGTGTTATTGATTTATGAATTCAAAAACAATTGAAAGTAAGATTAAATAGAGGACAAAAGTATAAATGTAAATGACGACAGCGTAGCTCCAGGTTTGGTCAGAACAAATCTAGGAGCTTTTATAAAAGTAAAACAAAAAACAACACATAATATAAAACTATGTGATTTTAATATGATTCAAAATAATATAGCCTTCACAATAAGGACATGATCTATATTATTCATAAACAGTCCATTTTGTTAGGTTATGTGGGGCCTTATATTTGAAATAAATTGTATAAGGTGGAGACTGTATACATTAAAATTGCATATTACAGAGACGTAGTGTAATTTATCAATTTATAAGAAAGAAAAGGAAATACTATACAACATTTAGATACATTCATTGTGAAATTATCAATATATTTGGGAAATATTTAACCCCAAAATTAAACTTGTGACATGAGCAATACACCAGGATTGTCACATGGAGATTTAAATATTGGATTGGAAGAACCACATGGGACCATCACATTGGCGCCTCAGCAGAAGGTCACCTGTACTGCTCCTGTCTCTCTCTGAGCAGTTTCTTCAGCTCCTCAATCCTCTCCGTGGTCAGCCGCCGCACAATTACATCCTCAATGGTCTCCACCACTTCTCCCTTCTCGCCACGTTTTCTCCTGAGCACAAAGACAATTACAAGCGTCAAAACACGTCCCTGGTGATGACGATACAAGACTGAGTGTATTTTTGTACAGACTTTGGTGCTTCTGTGGCTTCCAGCAGCTCGGAGTATTGAGAGGCACAGTGCTGGATGGAGACAAACATGTAATTATAGAATGTTACTGTGGTGGCAGTGAGGACAAAAGAAGTCATTGTAACCGCTGAAGGTTTGTGAATGTCTTACTTTTTGGGAGAACCAGTCCGGCGGTCGGCCTGACTCTGAGAAAGGCTTGATGGCTCGACTCACAGACACCCTGAAAAACAGACAGCTTTATTTAGAAAACCATCAAACCACAGAACAATTGTTGTAGAAGAGCTGTTCTCTACAGGAGGATAAGTGGACCACATTAAATCTTTTTGCACAAGGAACAAAAACAACCAGACAAACAAAGTACACCAGAAACACACACACACACAGCGGTTATTGTCTAATTATGTCTAATTATGACTGGACAGATTTAAGTATACTGTGTGTGTGTGTGTGTGTGTGTGTTATGAACAATAGTATATAAATAACAACTTGAATTAATAATTGCTGTGCTTCTCAAAAGGTTTCACACCAACTATCACCTAATGTACTGTTTTACCTCACCCATAAGTAAAAATGTGGCCCTCCAAGCTCCACTACAGGGAGGCACTTCAATCAATCAAACCACAAAGGAAGGAAGGGTTGCTCCTGTGACATGTAGGTGTTCACACATTTTTCTTTACACCAGCATTATGTCTGAATAGAGTAAGCCACTGTCTTCAGGCTCCAAACGCACTTCCCCATTGATAAACATGATTTCTGTGCACCGAAGCCATTTCCATCCTCCTGATGTGCATCAATAGGGCTTGTTTTTAAACATACTGAGCAGGTCATACTATACGTAAGTAAACAGGTGTTCAGGTGAACCAAGAGAGCCTTGGCATCTTTAGGCAAACAGCAGTGAATGTCAGAGACCACAGCATTAGATAATAGTTGATTCAATGCACAAGTAATCATTGTTGTTTGGGGTTCTTTAAAATAGTAAAAATCTAAGGCATATCAACAAGCTGCACCGTGAACACAGGGCTCCTCACCAGTTTTGGTCTCCACTCCTTAGGACCGAAGAGGCCAGGCACAGTTTCTCTCTGATGGACCATGGCTCAGTCGGTCCAACATTCAGGATCTTGTGTTCTGAAAAAAATAAGTAACAATATACAAATCATAATGAATAAATATGATTCTTAATTTGGTATGATGAAGCCTACTCAAAACACAACTATAGAGTTATTTTGGAAACATGTATTATATTTTTTTATAGAAGATGAAACACGATCTAGAAAGCTTCACCTTTAGATCGACTACCATGGACTATTTTGACACCATTACAACCATCCGCCTTCGCTTACATTGTTTTGTTTACAAGAAGGCTAACTCAAGTTAGCATATAGCTACTCGCAATCATGCATTTCTTAAAATATTACGTCTTTACTCTCCGGGGGGAAATATTATCTTATGACTAGCCATATTATCATACTATGAGTTACATAATAACTGCAATAGTACAACAGACTGCGTGCAAGAACATATATTATATATGAAAAACACGTTTAGCTTAGCAGGGCAAATACGGGGGACACTTTACACACGGCACACACAGGTTAAAGAAATTGATTTTTTTTTATTCCGTTAGAGAATGTATACAGTGTATACTATAAAGGACATGGATGTATTTCTTTAGAGTTTTGTCTGACATAGTGTGCGGTGGTGAGTAGATAAAACACAAAATCATCACTTACTCCCGATGCCGCTCGCCATCTCTTTTGTGAGCAGGCAGAGGCTCACTTCCGCCGGAGCACATTCAGGGACGCACACTCCGAGCGTAAAAGAGCAGGGGTTTCCATGGAGATCTTTACACAAAAGCGTAATTTAAATGAATTATTCAGATACTTCTACATGCATTATCCTTTCTTATCCAGTTATCCGATATCCCTTTTTCCAAGTATTGCTTAAAAGGTTGTCATTCATTTTAAAATGTTTATGACTGAATTATTGTTGTAAAATGTAAAGTAAATCAGTGGTGTATGCTTTAAAGGCACACCGCGGACTTTGTGACCTAAAGAGTTGACACATATGAGTTATTTTATATGAATACTTGGGCCAATATACAGCGCTTGACACTTGCAATGCTCCGAGCGGGGCTGCCCTCTTGAAATACCGCCCATGTAAGTTTAGAGCAGACGGACCGTCTGCCACCAGGTCACGTGACTTGGAAGAAACACTTGCTTTACGGCTACAGGCGCTGATATACTCATGGAGCTAAGGCTTTTGCTACTCATTTTTCACCTGCTCGACTCCTGGTCATGGCTGAGGCAAGGAAAAATTTTAAACCTTCGGAGGAGGCTAAAAAGAGGAAACGCGAAAGGGATCGTGCTGTAAGCTGCATGTCTGTATGAGCGCTGCTGTTCACCTGGTTCCTGGATGTCATCGACTGCAAAGATGTCATTCCACGCAGCACGAGCTAGACGCAGAACTCCCTCATCCAGGATATAGAAGTCCATGTGTGGTAGATTACTAATGCAGCGGTCTGGAGGCTGACCACAGCAGAGTCTCTCAATATCTGTAGGCATGTCTCTACAGTTTGAACACACACACCAGTGCATGCTGTCTGAATACACACTCAAAAGACACCGGCTGACTGTTTGTTGACTTTTGCGACAGTGCTGAGTTGCTTGTGGCCACTAGGGGCGCTAAACGTGAAAGTTGCAGGTCTAGCGCCCCTAGTGGCCAAGAGTTACACGGTGTGCCTTTAAGTAGTGATGGTAATATGAAGCCTTATGAAGCATTGAGGGTTTGCAGCGATTCATGCTCCACTACGCCATCATGTGGACAAAAATATAACACTCTTAAGTGCTTACAATGAATGGTGGGGTCTAATATTGATATTGATATTTACAGTCTTTGGTCTAAACATGTTGTGTTTTAAATGATGCTTCATGAATATGAACTATTTGAGTCTTTCAGTCAATTGTGTTGATACAACAAACATATTGCATCCAAAGCAAAGCAGTTTTAGAAAAAAGTGTTTAATTGAAGAAAACTGGATTAGCTGGATTAATTAATCACAACAACAAACCATTTATTCCCAGTAATTTCATTTATTTACTTTACAAATGAAAAACTGATTCTAAGTCAAGTGGGATTTGAACCACATATCTCTAACCCTACAGTAATTGCCGACTACGCCCAGAATCTATTATGAAACATTTGTTACAGCATTCCAACAACCTCACCTGACACTAAAGTGAAAGTAAAGCTAGGTTAATGTGGTCACAGTCTCTGGAAAGGTTAAACTAAACCCTGCGTCGTCAAGATCCTTTTGGGGAGAACGCGTCTCAGGCCACGTCTGCGTAAGTAGAATAGTAGTTTATATTTAGTTCAGATGAAGAGAACATCTTTATAAGCTTTATTTTCCTTCACCTTTGACCAGGCCGCTCCCGTTTCAGTCTACGCACTTTTTATTTAACCCTGGGCTTTTAAAACTACAAATATCTTCACAGTTCATTGAGATTGAGGCCCATTGAGTCACTTTTACTCCTCTTTAATCAGTTTTTCGTTGTCGTTTTCCAACAAACAGTAAAGTTAATCGTCACAGGCCGCTCCCATTTCTTCTCAGGACCTACGCACTTTATTTTCCTACAGTATGTCTGGCTTTTTAACCACTGACTCTTCCTCATGCTGCACTTGCTAAAAGGTTCATACGAGTTTACATGTATTCTGACCTGTTTGCTTTATTACAGGTCTCTGAGTCTCATTTTCACATCTCTCATGTTAAAATGTGCTCGGATGAAAACACTCAAATCAAATCGTGTTTTCCATTTGTTTTTCTTGCAGCCCTAGTTAATTACATTACATTTATTTTTGTGGTGCTCTAAATTAAACAGCAGTCGTCTCAGAGGACTTTACAAAGTTGTTGATTCCTCCACATCAGAGAATCAAGTTCAATCCCAGGAAATGCAATAATAACAAAACACAAAGCATTGGTCCAGAGGGAGCGGGTTGAACAATGTCCATAAATATCTTTAAATGACCCGGATCTTTCACTGTCCTCTGCATCGGCAAAGAACAACTCAGATTCCTGTGGGGAAAACCCTCCGCCCTGCTTAGTGACGCCAACGCCAGCCAGAGGTGCTCAGTCTTAAAGGCAACTCACTCGGGACTCGCCTCGCCGCTGGTTCAAAAGGCGGGCTCCGACAGACCCTAAAGACCACCTGAGTCCCAAACCGGGGGCGTTCCTCTGAAGCGGGGGGGCCTCCTACTGCGCGCCCCCGCAGAAAATGTTTTAACCAAACGGATCGAGAGCGGGGGTGAACCCCGCCGAATCCGTCGTGACCCGAGGTAATGGCTGCCGCGACACGCCAAGGCGGCGACAGCCCTCCCCTTGTCAAAACGGTTCCTGTAGGAATCCAGGACTCCATCCAGCGGGCAACGCCAGGGATCCAGGAGCCGAGAACCCACCAGACCGCTGAAGAGCTCCATCTCGTGGGTCGGCCCTCACATGTGGACGGCGCCTCGCCCCTGAATAGTTCCACCACCGCCGGGGGAAGACCAGGCCTACGAGGTTCCGCCTCTCAGCCTCCAAACCCCCAGAGCTGCGCCGATGATGGGGCGTGTAAACAGGCCCCCCCCTGGACTAGGAGCCCCCCGGGGGGGGGGGGGCTTTTTCGGGTCCGGGAGGGGGACTCCATCACCCGCCATGCCCTCAGGAAGGGGAACCACCGGGCATGTGGATTGTACGGAGCCACCCAGGATCCAACCTCCTCTCCTGTCCGATCCTCCGCAGCAGGACCGGCAGGAGACGCTCGGTGGAAAGGCATACAGCAGCCCCTATGGCCAGGGGTAGTGAGCAGGGCGTCCGCCTAAGGGCGGTCGTCCGCGCCATTAAGGCGAACCAGGACGGGCACTGTGCGTTCCTGCATGGCGCACAAAAAGGTTGACACTGACGACCGGAACCTCCGCCACACTCCCGCGCTGTCCAGCCAGGCCCCCACTCGTCCCGGGTTGGCCCCCCCTGGACATCGGCCCATCGGCCCCCACGTTCCGTGGACACACCGGGACGTGGCCGCGCCCTCAGAGAATGTTTGGATGATAAAGGACGAGTCTATAAAATCAGACCAGTGGACAAGCTCGGCCCTGAGACGAATGTCAGTCGAACAGAAATTAAAGTTTACCCTCCTACTTGTCCAATGTTGCCAAATCCTGCATCACCTAAGTCACTTTCTCCATGTGCATCAGCTGGTGCCCCCGTATTGGAGGAGGATAGTGAAATGGGCAGTGTAGTCATGGTTCAGTGGCCACCAGACAGACCCCAACCGATACCAACAGAGTTGGACAACACAGCAGACATTGCACCAACCCATGCCCCTGGGCCTCCACCAGCCCCTGCAAGGGATATGGCCCCGGCCAGCCCTCCTCTTGAAGCTAGACGTTCAAATAGGGCTACCGCTGGACAGCACTCTAACCCGTTCAAATTGCCGCGTCCAATGCATTGATTTAAGCCAAATGCTTCCCTGGTATTGAGTAGTCACCGCTCTTGATTGTATGTTGTCACCGGGACGGTGAACTCACAAAGTGTGGGGATGAATGTGAAAGGGTAGAGGAGGAAACAGGAAGTTGGTGGGAGGGGCTAAGGTTTTAAAGAGGGCAGAGTGGTAAATCTCTGTCTTTTCACTTTGGCCTACTACTGAGAGCACTGACCTGGATGTGCAGACTGAATTATAAAGTTTCCAGCCACCAGCAGATCTCTGCATGTATGGACTGATGCACTGGTTACTGACTCTAAACTAAAAGGTAAATCCCAGTTGAATGAACTAAAGTAGAGACTTTATTACATTCAACATTAAAGTAATACTCTCAATGTCCATTTAGATCCCAGCTACCTGCAGGCCTCAACTGATTGTAGTAGCATTTAATAATGGTGAACATTTGTGCAAAGGTATTTATTCTTAGATATGTGAATGTTGTGTTTTATAAACTTTTCTTGTATTCTTGTATACACTGTTCTATTGTTTTATAGTGCCCATGCTGCTGCAGTTTTTAGTCAGTCACTGTTTTGTTTTCCCGTAAGTTTGGACCTAGTTATTGCTTCAGGGCCGATGTACAGTGGGTTATGTTAATATGTGGTCCAGGGTTTGCTTTCTTTGGGCTGCTTTCAACGGCCATTTTGTTTTGGTTTGCTGTGATTTTGAGTTGTAAATATATTTGATTTTGATTTGATTTATATTAATTTGGACCATATCTTGACGATACCCAGGTTTTAACTTAGTTTCTGAATTTACCTACTAGCTGTCTGCTATTTTAATGTGCGACTCGTTTATGGAGCCTTATTGAATAAATACTGTCAAATGTACTTGATAAAGTCTCTTATGGTTTTATTATATTAGACACTTGGTCACACTTAGATGGGAATTTTGTGTAAAACCGGATCTGGTCATCAGAAAAGCAATAACTATTAAAAAGTGTGCTGGGAGACAAATCCATCTTCTCCAGCCTGGCTTCCAACTCCTTGATCGTCTCAAGGGCTTTATCAAGCGCACCTGTAAAACCAGAAAAAAGTGCTATAAATACCTTAAAAAGGTCTAACCATAATGTAATATATATATCTATAATTATATATACAATTACACAGACAGTCCTAAATATTGTATTTTATTTACACTGCTTTAATTTTGTTCCACAAACATGTTATGACACTGAGCATTTATTGTTTCATAGTTATAATATTGACTCAAATATGCTAGAATAAAATGTTTCCATAACTGATATAATTAGATATTTACCTGGGGGTGGATGTGCCGCATAATCATGTTCGGCAGTGGCAGCTTCAGCCTGGCTAACTTGCTCTGAAAGGACAAGCTGACGTTTCTGAGCCTTCTGGAATGCTGACTCCCTCTTAGGTGGTGCAATAAAATTATTCCAGGGGAATAGAGATGGAACAGCTCCACTTTTAAGGCGGCTGACGGTCGATCCAGTGAGATAATCCTCCGGTGTGAAGTGCCGGCTGCATACAAAAGTGCTCCCTGTCTTTATGGTGAACAGGGGACCCTCGTCTCTCCTAACTGCTTGGATCCACTGCCTTCTACGGTCCGGGTCCGTCGGAAAAGCATGAAAAGATAAATAGGGTTGTTTTCTTGCTCCACAAGAGCAACCAGGAACAGAGCAAAAACTAGCGCGGAGAGATTGAGCCATACTGACCCTGTCTCTGAACGGTAAAGCATAGGCACCGGAAGTGGCTTTACTCCTCATCCGGTTTAAAACACGGAAGTGTGAAAAAGGTCTATTATGGAGTTGTAATTTTTAGCTGGTTTGAAGATATATATTAGGTACTACAGTGGTTTTTACTGTTAGTTTTTTAGGTGGTGGAAAGTCGAGACATGCACAAAAAACATGGGGGCACTTTGTCTCATCGTGCGCAGTATTCTGGGCTAAAAAACATTGAATTATTGTCATTTCCTGTGGCCCATTTACCCCCATCCGCTGTTACACGCAAACCTCCAAGATGGCCGACGTCAGTATCGTTCAAAAACATTGAATCAAGTTGTTTTGTCGATTTTTATCTCACCGTTTTAGCTGTTGTTTGTTTTTATCACCAAGCCGACAAATGCAATGCCTGTTTTTCCTTCTTTTTTTTTTACCTACAATTTTCAAATGAATGAGTGTAAGATATAAGTGAAGTGTTTACTCGACAAAGGCCCTGGTGGTTTTATTGTTTAGAAGCAGAAGAGCACAACACAATATTTTATCTTTATTTAAAATTCTGGATTTTATATTTGTAATGCTGCCTTTAGTGTGGGGGGTTTCAAATCACATGTAACTCGATCACTTTTCAAAGTAACTCGGAATTGCCCTTTTTGGAGCCAATACAGTCAAACCACGCACTCTGTACAGTAATATTAGGCTCAGTCCTGCAACCTCTTTGTTATTGATCTAAAATGTATGCTACAAAGGTTGCTTACAAAATGAATTACCACGTTTTTAAATTACAAACACAAATCAGAACCGTTCAAATACCTTTTATTATTCCTGTCATTTGTCCCTGATGAAATTTCACTGCAAGAAATATGGGATTATTTTGACTTTGTTCATAAAAGTTGATTCATACTGGGATTTTCTTTGCTGAAGGTGCTGAATTGAAACGAGAATATTGTGCAAAACATCTATGCAAACTGTTGATGAAAAGAAAAAATACTGAAACCTTAATTTGGAACGAGCTGTGCCTTAAAACAGCGCGATTTGGCGATGATTCTGTCACGACTGAGAGCCAATAACATTTCAAAAGGGCTGGTGCATGTGTTTCGGTGAGCGGACAGACGGCCATGATTGAAACCCTGTGTTCTGGGTGAAGATGGGATGTGCCTGAGCTCGCGGGGCCCTGCTATAGTCAAAGCAGGTGTTGGCACGGCTGAGAAATGCAGGAGATTTGGTCCAACTTTTGAGTGCTGGGATTTTAAAGTTGGACAAAAAGCCTGTGCCCCCCTCAGGACCGGATCGGACTCTTGTTCTGGAGGACTGAGTGAAAAAAGAAGAAGAGAGGTGTAAATACTGTGCTGGCGTTCTAGATGTCTCTATAAGAGGCGGTAACCTTCACCAGATTTTTACTGTCCTAAATGTTATGGAAAAAACAGAGATAGATGTTAAATTGTAAAAGAAAATGTATATTAAACAACATTTCTTAGTCTTGTTGAAATAAAGACTGCCATATTTAAACAACTGTTGCTCATTTATTCTTGAGAAACGACAAGTGACGCTTCACACTTTGCCTGATTTTCTTTTGATCTTTGAACGTTACTGGAGGATAGAAGTTAGTGCTTGGGCCTCACAGCAAGAAGCTCCTGGGTTCGATTCCACCTCCAGACAGGGCCTTTCTGTGTGGAGTTTGCATGTTCTTCTAGGTTTCCTCCAGATGCTCCGGTTTCCCCTACCACTAAAACATGGACAATAATTCAGGATGAATGTTGAGTGAGTGTGATTGTAGGACGATAAATGCAAATTAGCCCAAGGAAACAATCTGTTGTGTTTATAGCATCTGCTGGGACAATTGATACTCATTGTACCAACCATCCATCCATTGTCTTCTGCTTCATCCGTTGCCGGGTCGCGAGGGCAGCAGTCTAAGCAGAGACACCCTGACTTCCCAATCCACACACACTTCCTCCAGCTCATCCGGGGGGACCCCAGTGTAGTGTTATGCAAAGTCAGGAGGAACACCAATAAGTTTATCGGCTTTAATGTCGAACATAACACCGGTCATGCATCAGTCGTACAGCGTCAGAACCTCACGTGTTAAACCGGAAGCAGCTTTTATATCCCTCAGCCACATCACTGCTTCAATAACATTACACATAAAATAGAGCCATCACATTACATCACCCTTTCTTTGAGTCTTTTAAGACATTCTAGCAGTATACTAGTGCTGTAAGTGGAAACATTCTAAATTATGCATCTTACAAATCTGCATACAACCTTCAGCCAACGTTAAACAAAATAAATGCAGCATATTAGTGCAATAGAACATTCAGCATAATAACACATTACTCATGCTTAGCAGGAACTCCAAACACTGTCAACAAAGGCTCAATAGCTCTTCATTTATTTCACATAGTCTGCATATCTGCTTGGTTGTTTCACCACTCTACCCCTAAAGGTTGTGCGAACTGGAGTCCCAGGTGGATCAGGCGCTGGACCTTCAGGTGACGGAGACAAATGTGGTTCTCTTTCAGGCTCCGCCTGTTGTAGTCCATCTTTTGCAGGTGTAGCTGGATCACTGAGGATGGGCCTCAGGTGTCGACGATTCCTCCTCAGCACTCCACTCTCAGTCTGTACAAAGTATGACCTTGGGGAGTCACATTTTTGTAGGACAGTAGCTGGTTTTGTCCAACCCTTTTCACTGTCCAGTTTCACTGCAACACTTAATCCTGGTGGAAGTTCTGTTAGTGGTTTAGCACCATACCTGTTGTTGTATGTGCGTTCATAGTTCTCTTTTGATGTCTTGTCAGTTAATCTCACAAGCTGAAGATCTGGCCACTCTGGCTGGAGCTTGGATTCTAAGGTTGGAACAGTAGTTCGGATCTGCCTTCCGAGCATCAGCTGTGCTGGACTCACACCAGTGGCTTGAATAGGAGTCGATCTGTAAATCATCAGTGCTAAGAAAGGGTCTTTCTGCCTTAGAATATGTTTGGCTGTCTGTACAGCTCTCTCAGCCTCACCATTAGCCTGGGGATAGTGAGGGCTAGTAGTAATATGCTCGATATCATATTCTTTTGTAAACTGTGTGAAAGTTTTACCCGAAAACTGAGGGCCATTGTCAGTGACTAGAATGTTTGGACAACCCCATCGAGCACATATGTTTTTCAGAGTTGAGACTGTAGTCTCACTCGACATGCTTTTTAGATGAGCTAACTCTATGTAGCGGGAAAAATAATCAACCACCACTAAATAGTTTTGTTTGTTCAGCTCACAAATATCTGCTGCTACTCTTTTCCACGGACGACTAGGTAGAGATGTAGTGAGCAGGGGTTCTCTTCTCTGGCTAGATTTTTCTTCCTGACAAAATGTGCAAGTACTAACCATTTGTTTAATTTCTGTGCTGAGCCCAGGCCACCATACGCTACACTTTGCTCTTTCTCTGCATTTCACTATTCCCAAATGCCCATCATGAACGCGCTGCAAAATCTCTGGCCTTAACTGCTGTGGCACAACTATTCTGTCATTGTACAACACCAGGCCGCCAGACACCGTAAGGGAATGTCTATTAGTGTAGTAAGGCTTTACATCAAGTTGTACCTGTGCTGCATACTTGGGCCAACCTGACTGAATGTAGTTTTGAACTATTCTGAGTCCTGCATCTTGTAAAGTATGCTGTTTAATCAGATCCAACTTGGAGGAAGAAATGGGCCATGAGTTTTGTATTTCTTGTTCATGTGCCTCTATCTCCCCCAACAGTTCTGCTACATCTTGTTCTACAGCCGCTTGAGGATGACGAGAGAGTGTATCTGCGATGACGAGATCTTTTCCGGGTACATATACTGCCGTTGGGCTGTACCGCATCATCCTCAATAAAAGTCTTTGACATCTCAGTGGCACAGAATGTAGATCTTTTGAGTTTATAAGAGGGATCAATGGTTTGTGATCACTCTGAAGAATGAACGAGTCCAAGCCATATAAATACCTGCTAAATTTCTCACATGCCCAGACCGCAGCGAGACACTCCTTCTCAATTTGAGCATAACGTTGCTCCGCCTCTGTTAGTGTTCTGGAACAAAAGCTCACAGGTTTCACTTGTCCATCATGATTCTGAAGCAACACTCCACCTAAACCATAACTACTAGCATCTGCGCTGACAATAGTTGGTTTGGTTACATCATAAAAGGCTAGAACGGGGGATTTGGTGACAAGCTCCTTTACTTGACTGAAGGCTTTGTCTTGAGCCTTGTCCCAATTCCACACGGTATCCTGTTTGAGTAGATCATTGAGCGGTTTGGTGACTTCAGATAGGTTTGGCAAGTATCTGCCTAAGTAGTGGATCATACCCATTATCCGCCTAAGGTCTGAAACATTCTTCGGAGTCTCCAGTTCTGTGACTGCTTTAACTTTCGCTTTATCTGGTCTAATGCCATTCTCATCAATGCAATGTCCCAGGTAGTTTAGTTGGTGTTGTCTGAGAAGACATTTCTCATGGTTTAACTTTAAACCTGCCACCTTAAGTGTGCTCAGAGTCTTTTGGAGTCTCGCCTCATGTTCCTCTGATGTGTTTGAAAAGATCAGGATATCGTCCATATAGACGGCCACACCCTCGAGTCCTTTCAAA